TGGAAGATTCTGGACATAGGGAGCAAAATCTCCGGCTGAAAGTAAAGTGGACTATGAATGGATAAGTAGCATGGGTCGTACCATCCTGAAGCAAGCAGCAGGCTCTTCTTGTTCTCGCCCTTCTCCGTCACATACTCTGCTTCAATCTGCACAAACATGCGAGCAGCGCAACGATGTAGATGAAAAATCGTTTCAATAAGTCCCAGTGCATGGTCTTCTTGTTCTCGCCCTTCTCTGTCACGTACTCTGCTTCAATCTGCACCACAGATGATCAGCATGACGGGATTGACGAGAATCGTGTCAACGAATTGCAACGCATGTTCGTATTTTTCATGCATGCCTGGTTGCTTCATTCTGTTTGTTTTGCATGTTTAGACAACTGACATATTGGCAGGCAGAAGGCACACCTTGGCAGGAGGGCGGCCCCAGATGGTGCAGCGGCCGTGTGTGGATCTGAAGTGCTGCCGTTGGCGATCCGAGTCATAGTTGATTGCGATGCACGCACAGCCACACAGAAACATCGCCAGGGCGACCTGTGGAGGGGACGGAAGGGGCGAGGGGGGAGTGCAGGTTGATGCTCTGGGTTGAGCGAGCGAAAGCTTTTGACTTGAACCACAAATAGACGCAAGGAGGGAAAAATATGTATAAAGCTCACGGGAACGGGTAGAAAACGTGGAGTCGAGGGGGGGAGGGAGGGCAAGCAAGGAGGCACGGGGAAAGGCAGGCAGGCAGGCACGGGGTGAGGAAGGCAGGCAGGCACGCAGGGGAATCTGGTACTCACGGGAGTGCCAAGTTGCAGGGGATGGTTGACGAGGTAGAGGGCGGGCGAGGTGTAGATGCAGGGCACCCACACCATGCAGCCCCAGCAGAGGTAGTAGCCGGCTGGCGGGAGCAGCAGGAGGGTCGGGGTAAGAGAATCAAAGGGAAGAAGGAAGTGGAAGAAACGGGGAGCGTAGGGAAGGGAGGAGAGGGGAGGGGGGGAGGAAACGGGATGATGGATGAGGACCAAGGGGAACATAACAGGGTTCAGGTACAATGTGCTGATGTCTCGCGAAGTAAGATTTGGCGAGCGGCTCTAAGGAGTGGAGACGGCCCACACCCGTGACATTATTACTAGTTCCGACAGAAGTGACAGAGAAAGAACGCTGCATGATCAGAACAGAAAAAAGGCTCACCTCGGTCGTGCTGGATGTCCATGGTGCTCCAGTACCCCGACTCCCAGTAGAAGAACTTGGAGATGTAAACCAGCATGAGCGCCACGCTCACAACCATGGAATCCGCTACTCGCCCATTCGCCTCCAGCTGCTTGATGGCGTACGTGACGGCCAGCAGCGCCCATGACATCATGCCGAAACGGCAGTTGGTGAAGGTCTTGATGTCAAAGTACTTGCCGATGCGCGGGTACAGCTCCATGCCCTGCGAATTAGTGTGGAATACAGAAAGGGAAGCACAACACCATAGCATCGAAATTATTTGCAGAGAGGATAGGCACACAGGAAGAGGGACGGCTGATGGTGAAAGTCGTTTTGTGGAATTGCTTGTCACTGCGTGACGTCACGGATCGACAAAGGCAAACGTCAGAAAGACGAGAGAGGAGGCTCACCCAGAAGAAGTCCTGGATGAAATTCCCGGAAGATCCCCAGTCAGAGGATGATGGAGCAAGGTGACCCTGCGCAAACCAGCACAGAACAGGGAGTGTTTATTGATCTCGCACCAGGACTTTGCTCGGTCAATTCAAACAGACGCGACAAAAATAACGAAGCACGGATTGGATAAGCATGGGATGGGGAGAGACCATACCTTGGCGTAGAGGAAGAGGCAGAGAAGTAGGCTGGCGACGTTGAGGGCAGAGAGGATGCTGCCAAAGTTATCGTACACGAGGGATGGGTTGAACCACCCGGCTCTGGTGAGAAGGAGGGAGGGAATTTGATGAGCTTCACCAGTCAATTCGTGCAGGGAGATCAATGTTTGGAGCCTTTCACGGGCTGGTTAGTTTGTGAAAAATGTGAAGAGTATGCTTCATGGGCGATCCTCATGGGATTGCGACAATTCTAAAAACAATGAATTCGAAGACACGCGGCATGGTACGATTTGTAAACCATGTGAGAGGTGGTGGGTCCAGCAGGCAAGCGTGAAGCAGGCTATACCTCCAGATGAAGATGTATGTGACAATGGAGACCAGATATGCTTGGAATCCGTTACACTGCAGGGCATATGAGGATTGGGAAAGTGTTCGCTTAAGGAAACGGAAGTCTCTCGCATTGGAGTGCATCCAGGAAATATACGCGATTCTCATGGAAATTGCAAGAATTCGATGAGGGAGGTGGGTGTTTCCGAAACGGCGGTAGCGGCTAGTGGAATCGCAGAATTGGAACATAGGGAGAGCGGGAGGGCGGTAATTTGTTCATCGCATTAAATCTTACCCAATAGATAGGTCGGTTTCCAGCTGGTGAAACGGGTCCAACAAATTCCTTTCCAGGCAAGAGAACCTGCCGACGTGAGGGATTGAAAAGAACTTAGATACATGCCTTTAAGGTGATCTTATCTGATCAGGAAATCGCAATTTCAGAATGTTCGTTTACTTTGACAGTGGCTACCCAACACCGCACCTGAAGAATTGCTTCAAAAGCTGCAAATGCGCCAATGATCTTCCAAGCAATGGGGGAGAGCGGCGACGGCCAGGCCTCCAGGAGTCCATCCATCACGGATTCCTTGCTTTGCAAAAATTGCCAGAATTTTAGAATCGACCCGTCCGTTTTGGCCATAATGAACCACCTGCACCTCAAAACGAGTAACATTTAGCAAGTGAATAAGATAGTTTGTTATTAGTACTGATCGATTTCATTATTAGACGTGCCTCTGGCACTCCTGTGTGGGATTTTCTTAGTACAAGTTATCTTACATGTAGATGGCGATCGGAGGAGTCAGCACGAGCATGGCCATCATGCTAATTAGGGTCATGGCCTTCCCATGGACGTGCTCTGCCTTGGAATAAGCTGATGGTAGATGCTTGAGTGGTCGATGTGACTTCAACGACTTCTCAAGATGCGCGACCTTCAAAAGGTTCTCCTTAAGATCCGGATCCAGCAACAGCTTTGAGACGCGAGACGCAATCATGGTAATCGGCATTGTAGACGCCTCAACGCCACCGAAGGAAAAAACAATGAGGTAAGCAAAGCAAAAAAGTAAAAGCGGTTCTCAGAAGGGATTGGCAATTCTAGTTAAAGACCAACAGGCTAAAATGAATTCCGCGCTCTCTCTGCTGCTGTGCTTCTAATCACTCATGATCCTCCACATTCTAGTCTGATTTCAAGGACAAGGCTGGGGTGGTGAACTTGGACTGAGTATGAATCGGGAGACTGAAGCTGAATCCAACCTTCCCCTCCCCTCTGGCTGAGGACGCGGTAAAAGTAGACGATCGATCGTCAGTCGCGATCGATGTGCGGATTGGTTACCCTATTGACTACGCTATAACTAAGCTACAGTACGCTTTTTGGCCCAATTTTTTGGACAGTGTGTGAATGCGACTGATCACAAATCGCGGGAGATCTATCAAATTTCAGTGGCGATCGTTACACGTCGCGATCGCCACGTTTCGCCAATCGATCTGCCCAATCGATTGTGGGGATCGATATGTGCAGACGATCCTGCGTTATTTGCACTTTCATCGCGTCCTGACTGAGGCCAGCCTAGCCTGATCAGTTTTGTTTGGCCAGGGAGGGATGTGTGAGCTCAAAGCCGTCGATCTACATTATGGTCCAGGGATTGGCGATCTGGCCGACCGACCCGCTTGTTGTGGTCATTTGCTTCACTCCCGTCGCCTTGAATTGATCGGAAGAGATCGACGGTGTTGTATGTCCGTCATCACGAAAATATCACCACCCATTCGGCCGACATAAGAGATCTTAACCGTCGATCATCTCAATGACGTTGAGCATGCCAGGTGTCACAAAAACCACAAGTGCCAAGTCAGAGCTCTATCGCTTCTCAACCAATTGACTCTGTCAGAGAGTACATGTGATTGGAACACGAGGACCTCAAACTCCTCTTTTAAGGCATGCAGTTCGTGTGCTCACACGGTGTATGCTGAGCAAGTTCGCTTTGTTGCCCACGGTCAGCAGCACACCCTGGTCAGCTGGAAGAAATGTTCCAAGCGGTCACAGAGGTTGCTTGCTGCCGTGCGGTGCGGATGTGGACCACAACTTCTCAAGTTCAGAGAACAAGCAGCTGCGATGCGATTCGATCTGGTCCCAGTGCAACTGTTGTCAGGGTTCGTGAGGTGAGCGACCATGCGTGAAATCATCTAGGTGAGAAAGTTCAGTCATTAGCTAACCATAGATGAGCATCACCAAACAAACTTGACGAAGTTCACCTGCCCGCGGACAGTGGAATAGGTTGCAGTCAACGAACGGAATTTGACCAATCAAAGCGTGCGAGTCGAGAACTCCGGAGTAGCGTTGATTGGAGGTGTCAGTCGATCGTCACTTTTCACGTGGAGGAAACAGCAATATCTTCAACAAGGCACAAATCGCCACAAGTCGACTTCAATGTCTACCTCTTTCTTCTTATGGAATTTGTACATGGCTGGAATATTGTACCTAACCTGCACAAGGGTTTCACAGCAACATATTTATATCACAATCTTTGATATCAACCTAACCTCAGTAACTTGCAAAAGCTTTTAAACGGGGTGATGCACATACCTGATACATCACTTCAGCACTCTTTGCGCCAAAATCTCTTAGTGCTGCACGTTCTACATGCTGTGCACACACTCAAAGAAGAAAAGGCAATTGCACAGTTTAGTACAGCAAAATGCAGGCGGTGGCTGCTTATGTAGGAGCTGGAAAGACAACCAACAAGAATGCCATGCCAAGCTGAACAGAAATATTCAAGAAGGATAATAACAACAAAATAACCCTAGGCAGAGTAAAATGGCTGAGTAAAATGGCTAAAAGGACAGGGTCAAAATTGGGGTATATGAGGAGGGTGACAGAAGGCTAGGAGGAGAGTGAATTGGATGCAGATTCATCAGGGAAAACATGGGGACCGGAAGGGGAAATGTGCACCTCTCGAGTGGATGATTTGTGGAGAGAGTAAACGGCTACTGAAGCAGCCTGAAGGGGCCCGAGAGGGTGAGTGGCACAACAGGACAATGGAGACAGCACGGAGAGGGAGGCAAGAGGGGGGGACAAAAGGGGAGGGGGTAACAACAGGACGAGGGGAGGGAGAAAGAGACAAGAGGGGCAGGACACAAGAAGACGAAGGACACACGAGTGTAAGGGGCACAAGAGAATGGACAACAACAGGAGAATACAATCAAGAAACTTAGAGGGGAAAGAGCATGGAAAAAAGCATGTGAGAGGAAGCACATGGAGGGAAGCACAGGGCTGCTTACTCTTGACTCCAAGCTGTGCGTGGAAAGGCAGTCACCATACCATGCTACCCAATCTGAGCCAATGCTCATAATCCATGCAAAATTAATTTGAAGTAGCGCACCTTATTAGATTGTCCTCCTTATATATATTATATATATACATACTTTTATTTATATTTACAGCACCATTCCTCACCTTGAGCCCTGCTGCTAAGAAGAGCATGTCAGCACCCTTGGTTCTCGTGCCAAAGGGCGGATTCATCACCACCACCTCAACTGAGCCACCTGCAGGGAAAAAAAAGCACGAGTCAACTTATGAGGCACCTAACAGAAGAAGCTTCTGGTGACATGCGACGACAATTGAAGTGCCTCATAATCGTGTTGAGCAAAAACGGAGGGTTCATGCACAGAGCACGAGGAAGTCTAACCCTCAGGGCGGTGAGGAACAAGGACAAAACAGGGGGGAGAGGAGGGAGGCCAAGGAGGGAGGGAGGCAGAGGAGGGAGGGGGGCAGAGGAAGGAGGGAGGCCGAGGGGGAAGGGAGGCAGAGGAGGGAGGGGGGCAGAGGAAGGAGGGAGCCGAGGAGGGAGGGAGGCAGAGGCTTAACTAGTGAGAGACAAGTGGGGAAGTTTTGCCTGAATGAAGTCCATGTCAATCTGCGCATACACAGAGACACACGCTAACATACACGATAGCATCAGTTCGGGTAGAGTACAATACACACTCTCACCTGATTAAAACAACAAAACATAACATGCCGTAACATAAACGATAGATGATATGACAAAACAAAACGCTACTTAGCACTAAATACATAACAGAACATATATGAAGAAAACAGACATAACACAACCGGTCCTAGGCTCCTGTGTCTCCCAGGCACTTAATTACGATAAGCTCAGTTGGCTTGTGCTGCGGCACCTCTGGGTTACCACACATGCCCTTCCACTCCTACGTTACATTCTTCCAGTAACTTTACTTCAAATATAATTCGTTTTATGAGTATATATATATGTTTAGGCGTCTAGAAAACAGCTACTTTCTTATGAGGAGCCTTTTTTTTATTAAATAGAAATCATTACAGTTTTACACAGAGTGAAGTCAAACGACGCACCTCATACTCTTGACAGTTGGCCTGTGCTGTGCCAATGGCTGAGTCATCCGCGTCCACTCCCACCACATACCTGCATGCATGCATGCATGCATGCAGAAACATGCAAATGCATGCGCGCGCGCGCACACACACACACACACACACATATGCACACAATCACGTGAATGGCAACATCATGGATGCATGAACGGAGGGGCAGCTTGATGCAAGCACATGAACCAAGCACAGGCACATAATGAATAGGTTGCTAGTGCCGCACCACAGCCATGGTTGAGACCCAGTGCGCCCCTCAACGGTGGTGCTCCCTTTGTTGGTGCTTGAATGCAGCGGCTCACAGTGCCTTGGTGTTATTCGCTCCTCACTCTGCTCCCTTGCTGGTGCCTAGAGGGTTTGGTGCGGTTCTAAGCGGTTAAACTCACTCTGCTCCCAGCATTGCTGCGGCAATCCCTAGGGTGCCGCACCCACAGCCGAGGTCAAGCACTGTACGCCCCTCCACATCATCAAAGCGCGTGTGGATCTGAACGAAGGGTTGAGAAGAAGGTGGGAGATTGTTAGGTACCACTGCACGTTGACTTTTGAGTCGACTCAAAAGGCGGGAGATACTTGTTAGGTACCACTGCACACATCCCCACACCGCCTACAGCCGAGGTCAAGCACTGTGCGCCCAACATCGCCATGGCGTCAAAGCGAGTGTGGATCTGCAAGCACGGGGAAGAGAAGAGACAAATTGTGTGTGTGAGGCACCCTAGTGTGTGAATTGTCGTGTGAGGGACATAACCTGTGTGATATATACACACACGTCGTCTGAGAGAGAGACACATTGCATGAGAAGAATATGTTTAAAGAAGCGTCACATAGTGTGGGTTGAACCGATTTCGATTCAGATGTGACAGGCTGTGGAAGGCTGTTGTGTGGGTCCTCACTTCATAGAGCATCAGTGAGGCGTAGTGAGGACCCGTGGGGTACTAAGTGGTTTTTGGGTCGACTCAAACTTCACCTGCACTTAGTACCCAACATGACACACCGTGATGGCATGTGGAGAGAGTGGGTTGCAACTATCAACTCATAGAGCATGCGAGAGGCTATGTGAGGACCTGTGAGGTACTGTAGCAACTTCTAAGTGGGCTCAAACTTCACCGAGCAATAGTACCCAACATGACACATGGCAATGGCATGGAAAGAATGCAGCCACAATCACCTCGTAGAGCATGCGAGAGGCTATGTGAGGTCCCGTGGGGTACTGCTCCAACTCGATCTGATGGAGGGGGATGGAGAGCGGTGGAGGGGGATGGAGAGCAGTGGAGGGGGGTGGAGAGGGATGGAGGGGGTTGGAGGGGGAGTGGGGGGGTGGAAGAAAGGGTTGTGTAGTGAAGGAATGTACGAGGCTGTGGGGTAGAGGTGTGGGTGAAATGAACATTGCATTGCATTGTTAGAGGAGAGCAAGGCAAGACGACAAGATTTTTGAGCCGCCTCAAGAATAGCACGGATAGCAGAATGTCTGTGGAAACCGGGTCCTGATTGAATCGAGAATTGCATTGCATTGCATTGTAAGAGGAGGGCAAGAGGAGATGAAAGGCGGACACGAGGGAAGGAAAACCCTGGTTTCCACGGACATTCCGCTATCCGTGTAGGCAAATATTGAAGATCTGAATAAGCTGTTCGAAATTGCCGTAAACAGCTTATACGCTATGCCGGAAAACAGTCGGACGGGCGGAAAACGCAACAGAGGGTCGGACGGGATCGGCAGCTCAAACCTTCCGTGCCTTTCCGAAGAGGCCTACCTTGGGATTGTCGAACTGTTGCACATCTCCTAGAAGCGACTCGAGCTGCTTCAGCTTCATTTGCCACGGACGAATACCAGTCTATACTGGAGACCTATGATTCTGTATCATGCATGGACTAAGGAACGTGAAAGGACTACAATAGTGGTCTCCTGCACCCGAGCCGCGCGATTTCGCTGATAACAGACTGACAGGGGCAGTACATTCGGGCGACGGATACGCGATACAATCAATATGCTGCATTTAGTATGGATGAGCAGAAACACTGCAAGGCCTATAATAATCGATATGAGAGATCTATGATTGAAGCTAAAACATTGAGAAATTGATTATCTGTACATCTTATAGTGTTGTTGACACCAAGCTTTCCAGGCACTTCGCCATAGGTACTTGTATCTCAGGAAATCCTAATCACACGTTTGGGACTGATAGCCTATCAGCCCCGGCCACGATACGAGCTGATTGAATCACGTCGCCAGTACGAAGCTGTGCCAAAACATCCCTACCCTTTGTCACATATCTGCACACCACCAAGCACAACATTTTTTAAAAAATATTATGATGGAAATAGGCCAACGAGGAGATTCTGGCAACAGGTTGACAGAGAGTGATTAGCTTACCCGAAAACTGAGAATTGGCCCTCGTCAAAGGCAAGTCCACCCAACCCAGACTGCATTACACAATAGAAAAAACCAGGTGAATGGGAGGAGCGGATTAAAAAGGCGCACCAAATAGTTGGCACCATTTGCTAAGAGGGGAAGACACAATCACAGCAGACATTAGAACCTACCCGTCTATTGTCGTATTTGTAGAGGGAGAAACGTGAGGGATAACCGAAGGAGTCACCTTTAGACGATACAACTGTTGAGTTGACGCACCTACCCATCCATTGTCGATTTCTGATAAATGGAATAATGAAGAAACTCTTACCCGTCTCTTGTCGTATTTGTAGAGGAAGAACTGCGAGGGATGGCTGAAGGAGTCACTCTCTGGAGAGTGGGCCATGACCATTGCCCCGAACACTGACATGGGCAGCACTGGGAGCTCACCGTCCTGTAGGGGAGAGGAGAGGAGGCAGAGCAGGGGTGTGAGGAACACTGAGGAGGGAAGCATGCATGTGAGAATGGGCCATGAGCAGTGCTCCTAAACTGGCATGGGCAGCAATGGAAACTCCCCATCCTGTGAAGGACAGATCAGGGATGGCCATGAGAAGGAAAGGGAGGAGCTTGGACAGAAAAGGGATTTGCTTTTAGGAGAGTGGGCCACGACCAGAGCTCCAAACACTGCCATGGGCAGCACTGGGAGCTCCCCGTCCTGTAGGGGAGAGGGGAGGGCAAGAGGGTAAGGAGTGGTTATAAGGAGGAAAGAGGTCACAGAAAGAAAGGATTCGCTGCCTGGAGTGGAGAGTGGGCCACGACCAGTGCCTCGAACAATGCCATGGGCAGCACTAGGAGCTCCGTCCTGTAGGGGAGAGGAAAGGTCAGGAGCATCTCAGGAGCATCTCAGGAGCATCTCAGAAGAATCTCAGAAGCATCTCAGAAGCATCTCAGGAGCATCTCAGAAGCATCTCAGAAGCATCTCAGGAGCATCTCAGAAGCATCTCAGGAGCATCTCAGAAGCATCTCAGAAGCATCTCAGGAGCATCTCAGAAGCATCTCAGAAGCATCTCAGGAGCATCTCAGAAGCATCTCAGAAGCATCTCATAAGCATCTCAGAAGCATCGCAAAAGCATCTAATAAGCATCTCAGAAGCATCTCCCTCCATACCGGCATGTCCAGCGGTGTGCAGTAGATGGGTTGGAACTCCCCAGCTGGCATGAACGCAAGGGGCACGTCCCTCAAGCAGCGCCTCCCTCAAGAGACACCTGCACCTCCCTACCCGCACACCTGGTGCAGCAAGCGCCCACCCCCCCCCTCCCCCCCTCTCCCCCTCTCCCCTCCCTACCTGCACGTCCAGCGGTGTGCGGTAGATGGGCTGGAACTCGCCAGCTGGCATGATCTCAAGAGGCACGTCCCGGCCGGCAGAGGGATCTCGAGCGTCGGATAGGACGGCGAGGTCAGTGGCTTTCACTGCCACTCCGTCATATGCGCGGCGGGATACCTGTTGTTGAGGAAGGAGGGAACCGGGAATGCGGTTGCAGAAAAAGAAAAAAAACAAAAGAAAAAAACGCTTGAGCTGCGAGCGGAGGGATCTCGAGCATTGGATAGCACGGCGAGGCCCGAGACTTTCACTGCGACTCAATCATATGCCCGGTGGGAGATCTGGCAAGTCAGGAAGATATGGTGGGAGTTGGATCTGGGGTATGACTGGCAGATAGCATGGCAAGGTCCGTTGCTCTTACTGCCAGTCTGTCGTATGCCCGGCGCCTCACCTGGCGAGTACAGAATGAGCTGGGCTGCGGAAGGACAGAACTAACTGTCCAGCACTCACGCCCTAACTTACTTCTCGTCTCGCACTTCCCTCACTCCCTCGCACCATTCCTTCCCTCACCCCCTCACTTCCCCCACTCCCTCGCTTTCCTCACCAGCTGAGCAAAGTTTCCGGCTGTGAGAGGAGCAGAATAACCGTCCAGAACCACCTGTTGGAGAAATGACGAATGGGAAGGGATTGGAAAGATAAGGGGAAGTGACGAAGAAAATGGGAAGGGAAGGGGATGTGAAGGGAATGGGAAGGGAGTGGGAAGGGAATGGGAAGGAATTGGAATAGAATGGGAATGGAAGGAAAAGAAATTGGAAGAAAACTCAACGGGAGAAAAGAGATAACGAGAGAGAAGCGGATGGAAGGAAAAGCAAGGGAAGGGAACAGGAAGGGAAGGGAACAGGAAGGGAAGGGAACTGGGAAAGGAGTTTGTTTAAGACCTCCTGCATCACGGCTGTGAGGGCAGACGTGGATTCTTCATCAAGAGACTTGCATGCACGCCCTGATCAAACCACACCTTACCCATCCCATCCCATGCAAGTGAATCAAACCCACCTGCAGCACGCCTGTGAGAGCAGAGGTGGCTCCGTTATCAAGGGAGAAGTAGGAACCATCCGCCTTTAACACTGCAAACTCCACTGTTGCCCGGCCTGTTAGCCTGGGGGTTGGAAAAAGAGGGGATGGAGGAGGGAGGAAGGTGAACAAGGGAGGACGGGGAGAGAGGGAGGAAGAAGTCAGAGCCATCCGCCCTGAGCACTGCGAATTCCACTGTTGCCCAACCTGTTAGGCTGGGGAGTGTGAAGGGAGGAGATGGTACGGAGGTAGAGAAGGGGAAGAGGACGAAATGGGAGATTGAGAGACAAAAGAGGCGAGGGGAAAAAGGTGCATTGTCAAACTGCAAGAGCAATAACGTGACCTGCACAAGGATACCGATAGATTTGGTGGGCGGGGATGAGAGACTGGAGGCCCGTGGCGTGACTTGCAGCAAAGAGAGATTGGGGCTGGGTGGGTGGGCCTGCTTCAGCTATAAGCAGTCGGTTGTTCAGTGGCATACACACATAAGCTTACACACACCCACCGCGGGAGGCTGGCGTATTGGTTGGGGATGAGGAACTGGAGCCCTGTGGCTTGCAGCAGCGAGAGATTAGCCACGTCGTTGAGGGAGGAGGCGAGGCGGATGGAGACACGGTCAGGGTCCTTGTCCTCTATCGCTGCTAGGAGGCCGGGGAAACCGCTCTGAAGAGAGAAAAGTGTGAGGGAGAAACAAGGCAAAGGTGAAACGGGAGAGCAATGAGGCGAGGCGGATAAGCAGGAGGTCAGGGTCCTTGTCCTCTATGGCTGCTAGGTGGCCGGGGGAAACCGCTCTGATGAAAAGGAAGGCGGGGAGGGCAAAGAGGAAGGAAGGAGGCAAAGTAGGAAAGAGAGCAATGAGGCCAGGCAGATGGCCATGCGGTCAGGGTCCTCGTCCTCTATCATTGCTAGGAGGCCGGCCGGGGAAGCCACTCCGATGAAAACGAGGGTGGAAGAGAGCAAGAAGGATCAAAGAAGGAAAGCACGAACCGCACGACAACGCACCGCACAGCACAGCCAATGACGCGACGTCTGTGACAAAACACCAGCTCACACATCTTGGATTCGATCAGATCCTTGAAGATGGCTACCGCAGCACATAACACGACATACCGCACAGCACCGTAACGCACCACACCACACCACACACCTTGGAATTGACAAGGTCGTTGTAAATGGCTGCTGCCCTCTCCCTGTCGGCAGCAGGCACAGCACAGCACCACACACCACCGAACAACACTGCATAGCATTACAACGCACAGCACCGCACAGCACCACACCACACACCTTGGAATTGACAAGGTCGTTGTAAATGGCTGCTGCCCTCTCCCTGTCGGGAGCAGGCACAGCACAGCACCATACACCACCGAACAACACTGCATAGCAGTACAACGCACAGCACCGCACAGCACCACACCACACACCTTGGAATTGACAAGGTCGTTGTAAATGGCTGCAGCCCTCTCCCTGTCGGCAGCAGGCACAGCACAGCACCACACACCACCGAACAACACTGCATAGCATTACAACGCACAGCACCGCACAGCACCACACCACACACCTTGGAATTGACAAGGTCGTTGTAAATGGCTGCAGCCCTCTCCCTGTCGGCAGCAGGCACAGCACAGCACCACACACCACCGAACAACACTGCATAGCATTACAACGCACAGCACCGCACAGCACCACACCACACACCTTGGAATTGACAAGGTCGTTGTAAATGGCTGCTGCCCTCTCCCTGTCGGGAGCAGGCACAGCACAGCACCATACACCACCGAACAACACTGCATAGCATTACAACGCACAGCACCGCACAGCACCACACCACACACCTTGGATTTGACAAGGTCGTTGTAAATGGCTGCAGCCCTCTCCCTGTCGGCAGCAGGCACAGCATCTAGAATCGCTGCTTGATTGGCCTCCGCCAACTGCAAGGGGGGACGAGGGAATGTACACAGGAGAACAAGAAAGGGAAGAAAAAAGGAGAGAGGGGGGAAAAGGGGAGGGATAAACGATGGGAAGGAAAAGGGATGAGGGATGCAGAAGCGAGAGGAGTTGGAGAGAAGGGAAGTGAGGAGGCAGGCGAGGAGAGAGGTCGCTGCAGAGGGTGGGGAGAATGGTGAAAGGGTTGCAAAATGGTGAGATGGGCGAGAGAAAGAATGGTGCATGTGGCTGCCGCATGGGAGTGGAGATTGCATCAGGGCATAGCGTGCGACGTGGGGAACTCTCGTCACTGCATTGGTCTGTCTGTGGTGATATTTGGCATGGTGTGGAATACAACGTGCATGCATCAATCTTCCCTCGCACACACCTTGACTGCCTTATTCACGTTGGCTGCCATTGTCTTGTATGGCTTCTTCTGTGGGATGCGCATGAGCGTTGTGATCTCCTCCAGCTCATCCTGATTGGCGTAGGGGGGAGGCGGAAGAGGGGAGGGAAGGGGAGGAGAGGGGAGGGGAGGGGAGGGAAGGGGCGAAGGAAAAGCACAGGATGGGATGGCCTGCCTGCATTGTCTTGTAAGGCATTTTCTGTGAGTTGCGCATGAGCGTTGTGATCTTCTCCAACTCATCCTGATTGGCGTTGGTTGGGGGGGTTGGTAAAGGGGGTAGTGAGGGAATGGATGAAGGGGATGGGAGAAAGAGAAGAGCAGAATGGGTTGGCCTGCTTGTATTGTCTTGTATGGCTTCATATTATATGGAGGAACTTCTGAACCTGGTTTGAGTAGACTCAAAACACTTCTTATCCTGATTTGTTATGTAGGCTGCTTATCCCCACAAGAACAAAAATATCATCTGGCCTTACTTGGATCTTCCTGACTGCCTCGTTGACAACTGGCACGGCGCGGCGGAGCGCCACGTCAGCATTGCGCGGGACCTTGGTGTCCGGGGAGAGCAGGATGGCTTCCGCGGGTGGCGGCTGCGCCAGTATGGGAACGAACGCGGCGGACACTGGCGCAAGCACCTGATATTTTGGAGGATGGGGGATGCGTGAGGAAAAGGGAGAATACCCGCGGGAGTGGGGTAATGGACAGGCGAATCAGGGGATGCAGGCGCGGAGTGGGGGAATGGACGATGAATGGGGGAGTGCACGAAGCGCGATTTGGGTGTGATTGTCTCGCGCAGATTTGCACAATTGAATACATTGACAAAATTTAACGCTTATTGATTTCTGCCAACTCGACTGAGATCCGTCATACGCATCACGACCTGCAGCGCATTACTGTCGTGTTTCTTTAGTGAAGGATACTACAGTGCGTGTTAATCTATTGTGTGCTACTCTGTTACAGAGTGTTTAACCAATGACTCACCTGAATAGCAGCTAGCACGGCGGCGACGGCTTTGCCTGCCACCGTTGTTGCCACGCGAGAAGCATCGGACGGCTCGGCGGATGGGGAAGGCTGTGCATGGAAAAAAGACGATAACGGAAGAAAACGAAAAACAGCTGAAAATGCGAAGGCGTTCGCTCGCAAAATTGATGTCGAGATCTCCCTTAGGGAAGAGACGCTCGCTCCGGGGCTACAGATAAGCTTGAAGGCAGCTGCCTGGCATGGAAAATAAGGAATGCATTGGTCTTGGGATCTTATCAACACAACACTACCCTCAAGAGATGGCCTGACCAGCACCGACAATGACAATGCGTTGATTGGGTTTGTACCCTTTTGCGTGCTCAAGCCCGCAAGGAAAAATGCCTCCTAAATCATTGATCGATGGAGCACCATTCCGCTAGCCATGGCCCGCAATGACCACGATAAGGCATTGATTAGGCAGGATCTCTTTGCGGTTCTGATATGCGAGGATAACGTTTCGTAAAAGATTAATTAAAAAAGTACCTTATCGCCAGCTCTGGCCTGCACTGGCTGGCGAGCAACATTTACGCCATGACGACCGCGCTGCTTCCGCAGCGAGGCCACGTCGAACGCGCCGGTTCTTGCGGCCGCGCTGCTTAGCGCGACTGGCAACTGCTGTGCTCCGGCGGTTTCTCCCCTCCGCGAGAGCGCGAGGCTTGCGGAAAGGCTGGGAGCGGAGCAGAGAGCTGCGGTCGCCATGGTTGTGGGGGAAAGCTACTTGCGTTTGGCGGAGAAACTAAAATTTTAACGTGCACTCGTCAATCTCAAGGAGTAGTTTCTAGGTCGGAACTGTCCAGCAGGAACTGTCCGCGAAGCTATTCGGAATATACAAATTGCGAGGGTGTCGATTTCGCTTCCAAAGGCAGCGCAGTTCGGAACATTGTTCAGTACAGAGACTAAGCTCAGCTTGTGAGCATTATTGCAGCTCCGAAATAGAAACTGTCGCGCATTTCGTTGCAACCAGCTGAAAAGGATGGGCGTGATCTCACCTGGGGTGAACTGAAACACGCCTTCCAAGACTTGCCTCGAGGAACCACAATCGTGGGCCAGTTTATCTATGCGATTGATGCTGCGTTCATCGAAACACGTTACCCTTCAATGACGAAACATTCCATCAAAACACCAGCCACGTAAACAGATCCTCTCACCTCGCTACGTTTCGCCACATGTGCAGGCATCGCTGGTTTGAGTGCCCTCTGACGACAGGGTGACGTCGGTTCAGAATCCTCCGCATCTGATCTGGATGCCTTGCTACGTGGCACCAAGGCAAGGTCCAGAAGCAGATTCACACAAAAGCTAGAGTACAGTGGGTTTAGATACCTAAAACCTATATAATACAGAAAATCTACTACAAATTCACCAAATCCTAGTTCAAGTCTAGCTCCTATGCTAATCTATGCTCGTCGTTTTCCTCCTCGCGTGCAGTGAAGTTCGCCTGCCATGGATCTCTTCAGGGTTTTCAACCCAGCATTTCGTGAAGCCGACGTGTCAGCTGGTCTTGAAAGCTACAGCTTTGAATTCGCGTTATCGCGACGAAGCGAATGGTACACTTATTATGTCCATCAGGCGGACATCGTAACTATTGCTTCTCGGGATCTGCTGTCAAGCTTCCAAGGTTTCATCAGCCATCAGGCAACGCATTCAGCATTATCGAAGATTATCCACTGGTTGTGTCAGGAATCTAACGCGCAGGACGAAGATTGGTTATTCATATTACAATATACTACCAAGGCCCATGGACATCATCCCTTGGTTGCGTCAGCTGGAATACAGCATATGTGTCAAGAAGACTCAACAGCTAATGGGGACATGCGGTCTCTACTTAAGAAGATGCTCAGACACCCAGCGTATCAGACATTTCTGGCCTTTTGTCTTACAACACTGCTGGTCTACGATCATCATTGCACCATGCCGCGTGCTCCGCCTAAAGGGAGAGTGCCTTCGACGAAGAAGCAGACTGATGCCATGGAGGATCCACCGCTACCTGCAGACAAAGGCAAAGAGAAAGTGGTTGAGGAGGATGCTGCTGTGACCATCCATACGGAAGGGAGCAGCTCTGGTCTGTCCCTGGAGGAGAAACTTGCTGCGCTTACCTCTGCTCATGCTGACGCTGATGACTTCACGGATGATGACTCCGACGACGAGCTTGAGTTTGATGTCACGAAAGACCTCGTCGCCAAGCAGCGCTTCACGGCCATCCTGCTGATCCCGTTCATCCTGCAGCAGGAAATGGCGAATGTTATTCTGACCGTGCGAATGTTGTTAAAGCGTGTTTGGTCTACCCTGTTATCTGACGGAGCTAACACCCATGTGGGTTGTCAGGACCTGTTCCCGGCTTATGTTGCAAAGACGAAGTACAGCCGGCTTCAGTTATCATTCCTGAAGGAAGAAGATGCAGTTAATGTGCGTCAGGCGACATTGGAATACCAGCGTGCGAACAGCAGTGTCACTCACAAGCTCCACTGGCTGCATGCTGAGAATGCGGCCTTCATTCGATTTAAGGCGTCCAACGCGCGTGCGCTCGAAGTTCTCTTTAAAGGTGTTCCTGCGAATATCACTCCGGAAGGGTTGGAAGAGATGCTGACAAAACACAAGCTGAAGATTCGACAGGTCACACCGTTCCTTGAAGGACACTGCTTTCACCGTGTGCTTCATCCGGTTTCTGGAGCTGACACGGACGTGATCAAGGGCTTGGTTATTCCACATACGGAGGAGAAGAAGCGTCGCCATATTCACCAGATCAGTCATCCTCTGGAGCACGGCAAGAAGCTCCTGGTTCACTACCCCATGCTCTCCTGTCAGCTCTGTGGGGGGTGGCATTATGACAAGCATCATGATGTCTTCGTCACAGAGCGACAGAATAACATAGGGAAGTGGGACTTGAGTTTGAGCCGGGTGCATAGAATCAATGGTAACGGAGCAGTAATGTTCTCAGCTGATTGCTCTTACCTCCTGTCTTCTCCTGGTACTGACCCATTGGCCGCCTGTCGCAGCTGCGTCCCTGCTGGCATCACGCCTGACACGTCCGATCCTCCTGGATCCTGCGATTGTGCTGATTTCCACTGGAAATACCAGGGAGGAGTGGATATGCACACAGCTGAGCTGCGGAAAGGCGCACGGAAAGCTGTTTGTTGCTGCTGCAGAACATATCACCTCGGCTCGACACCTTCACGGTCAGGAGGAGATAGGTGCTGTCACGCGTGCTACCCTGGGGATAGTGAACCTGAAGGGGATTCGCAAGGAGTACGAGATTTAGAGTTTGTGACTCGAGTCTCAGCGGCAGTAGCAGTCGGATGGTCGGTGGTTGCTGTACTTTGCTTTACCTGCCTGTGGATGCGTAGAGGTGATCAAGCTGTGATTAAATGAATACACGGAACACCCTCTCCTTTGCGGGCCTGAACGTCAACGGCCTGGGTGACAGTAACAAACGGAAACGAACAACTGACTGGACTTACAGTACGAAAGCGGCAGATGTGATGATACTCTCAGACACTAGGATAGCCTTAGACCACCCTTATTGGTCCACCCTTAATCTCACCTCCTTTGCTGCTACCACTCCGATTACTCGAGCTGGGGGTGTAGCGATCCTTAGCCGCAGGACCGACCTCTCCTTCCACAATCCGCTAGCGCATCCTTCAGGTAGATTAGTGAAGACTGAGATCCAGTGTGCCAGCCTGAGCCTCACCCTGCTCGCGGTATACTTCCCGTCGGACAAGGCCTTGCGTAGAGCATTCATCAAGAAAGTACTAGGACCCACGGTTGACCTCATCCCGCGCGGATCCCACCTGCTCATTATAGGAGACCTCAACATAGTCGAGAACCCAGTGTTAGATAAGACTTCGAAGCAAGGATCGTCAAAGGAAAACGACTCTCTCTCCCAGAGATGCAAGGACTTTGACATTACTGATGCATTCCGCTCTCTTTACCCTTTCAAGCGCGAGTTCACCTTCTTCTCGCAGGTACACCAGGAAAGCACTCGGATTGATCGAGCGTTGGTCTCTCAGTCCCTGCTTCCGCGTCTCATATCCGCCTCTCATGTCAAACCTGAGGAGCCAGTCTCTGACCACGACTTCGCCATTCGCATCGCCTTCAAGATCAAATCGCAGCTGCGCACGGGCCCAGGGCTATGGCGCATGCACCCATCCATGCTGCACAGACCAGGTGTCCGTAAGCTTACGGAAGAGGTGGAGGGGCAGGTTGCACAAAAAGGCGGTGATTTTGAGGTTCTGATATCTCGCCTGAATATCAGCCTTCGTCGTTACTCCAAGGAGGAGAGCAAAAGGATAAGGGCGACGATCAATCACCTTTCATCAATGGTCGCAGGGTTGGCGCAAGAATTCATGTGCAACCCAAAAGATCAACTGCTAAAAGAGAGATTAAGGAAGGCGGAGCGGCAGTTAAAAGAGTATCACGCATGTCGGCGAGAGAGGAATCACCTTATGGCGGGAATGGCCAAGGAGCTAGTCGGTGAAATCCCGTCTCCTCACCTCTCAGCGAGGATTAAGATGCGGAGGGTTAAGACACAGATAACGGAGCTGGCGGTTCCCGGGGGGGTGGTAACTGAGCCAAAAGAGATTTTGAAGGCGGCATCTGAATACTACAGCGGTCTCTTTGGGGAGGATAAGAGGACGGCACTCTCAAACTGGGTTCCAGCAGCGGGGAAAAGGCTTTGGTTCTCGGAGGCGGAGTGTTTGCAGGAGGACTGGACAGAAGCAGAGGTGAAGCGTGCTCTCAAGGAGATGGCTGACAATAAATCTCCGGGGAAGGATGGGCTACCGAAGGAACTTTTTGAGCAACATTGGGACGTACTGGGGAAACACCTCAAGGAGCTGGTACAGAGCTTCACCTCCTCATCGTCGCTCCCGACTAGCGTTAAGGACGCTGTAACCATTCTTCTGCATAAAAAGGGAGCAAAAGAGCAGTTAGAGAACTACCGACCGATAACCTTGCTGAACTTCAGTTACAAAGTACTGGCAAGGGTGCTGGCGAGCAGAATTAAAAAGGTGCTTCACAAAGTCATCTCGGAGGAGCAGTTTGGCTTCATACCGGGGAGAAGGGTGTCGGATGCGGTGGGGCTTGTAGCGGATGTCATCGACGCGGCAAAGAATGGCATGGAGGACTGGTATATGCTGCTGGTCGACTTCAGGAAAGCCTTTGACTCAGTTTCCCGGGACTTCACCTTTGAGGTCCTTAAGAAGATGGGCTTTCCGGAGCGTTTTGTCGGGTGGGTGAAAGGACTGCACGACAACACGCGCACAAGTTTATTAGTTAACGGATGGATGGGGGAAGCAGTGGATGTGGTATCAGGAGTCCGGCAGGGGTGTCCCATCGCCCCTTACTTGTTTCTCTGTGCGGTGGAACCTCTGGTGCAGCTGGTGGAAAAGAAGAAGTTGGGAATTACCATCAGGGGTTGTACTGAGCAACGGCTGGCTTACGTCGGTTATGCCGATGATACTACTCTCCTACTTCAGGGAAAACAGCAAATCGTCAAAGCGGAGGAAGTACTGGAGGAGTTCAAGAACATCTCTGGGTTGGCGACGAATAAAGATAAATCGGTGGTGCTTCCGCTAGGAGTTAACCTTGGCAAAAAGACCTGGCGCACAGATGGCTTCAGATGGGCAGGTGCGGATGAGGCTGAAAAGCTTCTTGGTATCTGGGTCACGCCCAGCGGAAGCTGCCAGCCGACCTGGGACAAGGCCCTGGAGAGGATTGTGGGGAAGATGTCCCTGTGGCAGCCGCAGTATCTGCCGATTAAAGCAAGGAGAGCTGTGATGGATGGTTACATCATGCCGATAGCCTGGTCGCAGGCCCAGGTGTACCCGCCGCCTGCTCGGACCTGGGGGGTTATAACGAAGCTGTCGCACACTTTCATGTCAGCCAACAAGGTTACAACGGAGAAATGTTTCTTCCTATGGAGTAAGGAGCTGCTGTACACGCCGGTGTTGGAAGGAGGTGTGGGGGCAAAAGACCCAGAAGCTATGCTTACCTGCTTTACAGCCAGGAGGATTGGGTTGATACTCAATGAGTCCAGTCAGCTAAAGCGGAATTTGCTACGGCAGGCAGCAGACTTACCACTGGGGCTCGATACCTTTATGTCGCACGAGAAGCTTCTGAAAGTTTGGGAGGGGAAGAGCCAGCGGTGGAAGTTGGCGTGTGAAAACTTCATGCGCTCTCCTCTGGCGGTGACAGGGGCGGAGCGAAGCAAAGAGGAGGTGGGGCTGGAGAGAATTGTGTTTAACAGACACATTCTTCGGAAAGGCTCCACGCCATTTGGGGGACAAAAGGCGGCGAAACGGCTGCGAGAAGTAAGGCTGGGGGATCTGATCCGGAAAGATGAGGAGGGGAGGGGCACGCTAAAGGACCTGGTCACTCTGGAGAGGGAGCTGCTGGGGATGGAGGCTGCGAAGCTGGCACTGGAGGCCTTTGCTACAGCACCAGAAGCTTGGAGGGGATTGCTTCTCTCAGCTGAGTTACCGCAGATGGGCTTTGCAGAGGTGTATGTGGCAGGGAGAGAGGGGTCAAAGCAGTTGCGCAACAAACTCCTGGTGAAGGGGGAGGTTGCGCCGATGAAGTCTCTCAGGTCCTGTTGGGGGCATGGCAGCAGCGGGCAGTCCAGGCGGAAAAAGTGGGAGGACAGATGGAGCGGTCGTATAGACTGGAAGCGGGCAGTTAAAACCCGGGAATCGCTAGTCACCCTCAGCAGGCCAAGGGATGTTTTGCTAAGAATCCACAGTCTGAATCTGCAAGTCGGGGAGAGACTCCCCTTTCTCAGCAGTGGGCCGGTGTGTCCTTTCTGTGGGGTCTTTGAAACATTGGAGCACTGTTTTTCTGAGTGCCCAAAGATCCGGGTGGTGGTTGCAGCAGTGAAGAAGGCCCTGCGCATGATTAATCCTGGCAGGCGGGCGGAATCGCTGGGGGACTGGCTGTTCGGAAAGGCAAACTCCACGTCAGCATTCCCCGAGGCGACTCTGATCTCTATCGCTTTGCATCAACTATGGGTGGAGAGGTGTGAAGGGGCCTTTCGCGGGTGTAAATTTCGCACGAGGCGGGTACTGCGGAGGATTGAAACTGCTCTGCGCATGCATGTCAACATTTACGTGCGTGCCTCAGCGGGAAAGCTGCAACAGAAGGGGAAGGTGCAGCAAGCCAGATGGCACGTGATGACGAATCAGGAACAGTGTCTTCTGAACCGCATCAGGGTGGTGGAGGGCAAGGGCTGGCGGTGGTCGGCCAAATTCGCAGCAATTTGGGGCAAGCCACACAGGCCCCGGATCCACATGTAAGGATCGGATTTCTCGGAGGCAGGCATCCTGCTTCTCACGTACAGTTACGACTGTTTATGTGATATACGCTTCTGTACTGGTGTATAGCATATATAAGCAAAAAAAAAGTTCAAGTCTAGCTAGAGAATGATTCAAAGCAGAGACACAAAATGGTTAAACAGCTCAGCAACAGCAGGCTCACAGCCCGAACCTGGCCAAGGACCTGTAACCCTGTCGAGCACATTCCAATCGACCTGTCCAGGCGACCCATGCACAGTCTCCATCCATTGCATTATCTCCAGGCTAAGCCGCGCCATCAACGGCACATCCACCAATCGCTGCTTCGCCAAATCCTCCCATGCTCGATCCGCCGCAATTTCCTGCTTCGACCGCGACAACGGAGAAATTGACTTGGAAGAAGAAGCCGCCTTGCGCGTGCCAGGAGATCGGCTCGAAACCGATGGGATGGGAGTTGGTGCAGATGACCCAGGTATTTGCACCGGGGATGAGATTTCCCTGCTTTTTCTACCTCCCTTCCTTTGGCCATCCACTCCTTCCGCTGCAGTGTTTTGACTTGCAGCAGAACCTGATTCTTTGGTCTCTTCACTGCGATCCTCGGCATCCTTGTTAGAGGCTTCTCCAGTAGAGGTAGAAGCTTTCAGGAATGTATGGAGCCGATCCACGAAGGATGCAAAGAGCAGCATTGCCCGCAGAGCTGGTGGTGGTGGCGCCGGTGGTGGTTCTGACCCTCCCACTGCACTGCTGTCTGCTGCAGCGGCAGCACCAGCTGCAGCAGTATTCCTATCAACACCACCAGCAGCACTTGTGCTAGGAATACCAGCAGCAGCAGCACCAGCCGCAGCACCACTACCACCAGCAGCAGAAGCAGAAGGAGCAGAAGCAGCCAGAGCAGGTCCGGCCAGAGAAGGGGGCAGCACGGCACACCCATCCAGACCCACCACATGTGCCCGTGCTGCTTCATGCACTGCCAGCAGCAGGAACAGGTGGCGCGATCGCTGCCACTTGTGCAGGGGCCACGTCAGCACAGTTGCCAGCATGGCATCGCACACACTGCCGCCCATCCCCCCTGCGACTGTTGCTGTTGAGAGTGAGGAGCGAGGGAGATGGAGGGAGGAGGCGGAGGGAGAGGAAGAGCGAGGGGAGGAGGTGGAGGCTGAAGGGGAGGAGGAGAGGAAGAGGGAGGACTGTAATGGAGAGGAGGCAAGAGGGGAAGATCGCAACGGGGAGGAGGAGAGAGGGGAGGATCTGGAAGGAGAGGAAGAGGAGGGGGGTGGTTGTCGTGAGGGAGAATCACAAGTCGAAGGTGATGAACAGGGGAAGATGGAGGAAAGAGAAGAGGGAAGCCTGGATTGTAACTGAGAGGCAAGGTCGAGCAGGGCAGATAGGGAGGAGTCGAGGGAGTGTCGCTGGGAAGAGGAGGCGGAGGAGGAGAGGTGCAGCAGCATGTGCAGCTGGAAGGGGAGGAAGCGCGCATTGCTCTCGCGCCCGCCCCCGTGGCAGTCAGTGCTGAAGCTGGCTGCGAGCACGAAGCGCGCGACGAGCGTGCGGAGGTCCCGGAGTAAGACGAGGAAGCGAGAGCCGTCCACGTGGCCGAGGTTTGCAACGCTCTCCCACCAGGAATCCAGCCCACGGGCGTACACTGCTGAGGATACCTGTTGGGGTGGGAACGCAGGGATGGGGAGGGAAGTGCGTGTAAGGAGGAGCACGAGGAAGCGAGAACCGTCCACGTGGCTCAGGGAGAGGACGCTTTCCCACCAGGAAACCAGCCCGCGGGCATACACTGCAGGGGAGACCTGTAAGGGTGAGTGGAAGAGAAAGGGAAGAGCATGTAAGGAGAAAGAAGTGGGAGGCTTTTGACGTGGCAGAGGGAGGAAACGACCTCCCACCAGGCGTCCAGCCTGGGCATACACTACTGGCGAGGCCATCCTTTGAGGGAAGAATGGGCTTGCTTGGCCTTGGCTGTCAGGCAGTAGTGCTGCCAATATGTATTGTGTAGCACTCGCATTACTTTTTGGAGGGGAAGGTGCTACTAAAAAAGCGGCCTTACCTGAGGGCCCCGCAGGGGGAAGAGGGCATTGCAGAGGTGAGACTTGGCGAGCTGCAGCTTAGGAAAATAGCTTCCTCCGCTTAGCAGAAGGACAGTAGAGTTAAACTCTTTGTTACCTGAGGGCCCCGCAGAGGGAAGAGGGCATTGCAGAGGGTTCCTCCGTTCCTGAGGGCTGCGCCGTCCCACTCGCGCTTGGGCAGCTTGAGGGCGGAATCGGCACGCTTGGCCCGGTCGTGGCAGGAGAAGTGGATGGTGTTGAAATGAGAGACCGTTGAGATAGACCAGTTCACGGCCACCCTGCTTGTCGTGGATGCTGTGAGGGGAAGAAAGTGGGAAGTGGGAGGGAAGGACAGAGGCAAGAGAACGGTGAAAAGAGGGACATGAGCAGCAGGAGAAGTGGATGGCGCTGAAGTGAGAGACTGTGGAGACAGACCAATGGACTGCCACCCTGCTTGCTGTGGATGCTGTTTTGGAAGAGGGGAAAGAGGGGGAGGCAGCACACAGAGACATGGGAAAACGCAGAAGAAGTGGATGGAGTTGAAAGGAGAAACGGTCAAGATAGACCAATCCACTGCCACCCTCTTGGTTGTGGAAGCTGCTTTGGAGAAGATGCGGGAGGGACAGGCGGCAAGGGGAGGGGCAGGCAGCACACAGGGAGCAATGGGGAAAGAGCAGGGGAAGTGGACAGTGTTGAAATTCCTACTTAGATCTTTCGTTAAAACACAAGAAATCAACAGAAAAATGACTCACTCAGGCTCATTGGAGTAGGTGTGTGTGAGCCTACTCCAGAGCCTGGAGTAGGCTCCAATGAGCTCGTTGGGACGCAGGCGGTGGCACACCATGTAGCGCGGAAAGCATATGAACCAAACAAACACGAAACAATCCTAAATTAAGCTCCAAGTGGAAAGTTCGGAGAAGAGTCTGGAGGTGTAAGCCCTGATCTGATTCAGCTCATTGTGACGAAGCCGGTACACCTCATGGCACACCAGGCAGCAGATCAGATCGGCGTTTTTACCACACAAACAAACAAGAGTACTTACTCAGGCTCCAAGTGGAGAGGTCGGAGAAGCGTCTGGAGAAGGTGTAGGCTCCAATTAGCTCGTTGGGACGCAGGCGGTAGCCCTCGTGGCACACCATGCAGCGCAGCGCACGCATTGCAGGAGGCAGCGCGATGGGGCGGCGAAGCTGTAGATCTCGTGCATTGAAAGGGAAAGCAGATGAGAGCAGAGCAGAGGCATCTGCGTCGCTAGCCTCCTCCTCTTCTCCCTCCTCTCCCTCTTCTCCCTTCTCCTTTTCCTCCTCCACTACCTCCTTCTCTTCCTCAAGTTCATCCCCCGACCTGCCTGCACCTACAGTGGACGTGGGGCCTGCACTGGCTGCGCCTTCCCGAGATACTGACGGTTTTGCTGATGTCAGCACGATGCGGTGGCTCCCAGTAGGAGCCAGCTGGGATTTAACCCCCATGCTCTGGAACAACAGCAAAGAGGGTGGGGAGAGGGAATGCGAGTTGAAGTTTGAGACGTCACCCCGTGCTCAAAACGTGACACAGGTGCCAGCTGGGCCAAACACATTCCCTTTCAAAGGGAAGTCTCAAAACACTTCTTCATACACGTGGCTTCAACCCCCAAGCTCTGAGATTGCGGTGGCGAAAAAAGGAGGAGATGCATGGGGGAGACGAGGAAAGAAGTTCCAAGGGACGAAGAGGTGAAGGACGAAGAGGTGAGGGACGAAGAGGTGAGGGGCGAAGAGGTGAGGGACGAAGAGGTGAGGGACGAAGAGGTGAGGGACGAAGAGGCGAGGGAAATTTGAGTCGTCTCAACAACCGGTAGGTGTCAGGTGGGATTTGAACCCCCATGCGTTGAAATTGTGGTGGCAACAAAGGGAAGAGAGGGAAACCGGGGGGAAGAGGTGGGGAGCAAACCTAAGGGGAGGGAGTTTGATCAGGAAGAAAAAATGAAGGGAATTAGCTCCTCACACCCACACACCCACGTTCATCAGTATAGTGTCACACTGTACAACATCCTCCCACTCCCATACACATTCCCACCTGCACTCTCACACTCACCCTCCCTCACGCCCTCACTCATTCACTCACTCACTCGCTCCCTCACTCACTCACTCACCTTCATCAGCTCCATGCGTCGTCGCATTGCCTTCTCTCTCCTCCTCTCCTTTGCTGCTGCCCTTAGAGTCTCCACTGCCAACCGAACCTCCTCATCCACCCCATCTCCTCTCCCCTCCTCCTTCCCTCCCTCCCCTTGCTCGCCAACCTCTCCCGAATCCTCTCCACCGCTCAGCACCTCTAGCAGCGCTTCAGCCCTCGCTCCCAGCCCATCATACCCCACCACCCCCTCCAGCAGCAGCAGCAGTGGTAACACCCCCTTCTCTGCCCCCACCACCCCGTTTTCCGCACCCTGCTCCACCTTCTCCCCGCCCACCCTCCCCTCCTCCCCACCCGTTTCCACCTCCTCTCCACCACCAGCGTCCGCCACCCCCTTCCCCCCACCGGTGCCCAGCAGGACTCGTTGTGTGGGGGGATGGCCGCGGCACAGGCCGAGCAGCAGACCCAGGAGCAGGGGCAGGGAGGGCAGGGCGAGCGCGTGTTGCCAGGCGGGGAGGGGGCGGAGATCAGAGAGGTCGGAGGTGGGGCAGAGGGCGGTGGGGGGGAAGGACGCGAGCAGATGGCGCACAGCAGCTGGGGGAAGGAGGAGACAGGGAGGGGAGGGGCGGGAGAGAGTGGGGAAGAGAGGGGAAGCGCAAGTTGCAAAGGAGGGGAGGGTGTGAGTTATCAGCAGCTCAAATTCAAAAGCAGAGACTAAGAAGCAGGCTGAGGAGAAGGGGCAGGGAAAGGAGGGAGAGCGTGTGGTCAGGCAGGTAGGAGGCAAGAGATGAGAGAGATTTCAGGTGGGGGAGAGGGCGGCGGGAGGGAAGGAGGATACATATATGATATATCCATACCACTCTCCTAATCGGCCTGCAGGGATAAAGTGCTGCAAACTGCCCCTTACCTTGCGGAATCCCCCTCTCCAGGATGAGAGCGCGCAGCCTCAGCCCACTGCCGTCCAGCCTGATTGCTCCCACCAGCCGCTCGAAATGCCCCGCCATCTGCCACCAGTGCACTGCCTTCCTCCTCCTCTCCTCCTCACTCTCCTCCTCACCCCCCTCCTTTCCACTCCCCGTCTCCCCACCTCCACTACTCCCCCCTTCCTTCTCCTCCTCCACGTCCCTTCTTCCCCCCTCTTTCTTCTCTCCACCCTCACTCTCCTCCCTCCCGCTTTCTGTAACACTCTCCAACCCATCCCCATCCTTCTCCACCCCTCTCAACTCCCCCACCAACCGATCAAACCCAGCCCAATCCAGCAGCAGGGGGCAAAAATGATCCACCAGAACCCCCATAGCCCTGCCCTCCCCATACGTCATATACGGCAAAATCCGAGCCACACTCTCCGAAAAATCCCTCTTCTTCTTCTTCCCTCCACCTGCTCCTCCTCCTGCTCCTCCACCTCCTCCACCTCCCCCTGCTCCTCCTGCTGTAAACACGCCTGGGCCAGATAAGCCTACCCCAGAAGCAGCCTGGGAGAGCGATGCAGCAGTAAGCTTCTCGAGGAAAACTCTCACTGCTTCTTCTCCCCGCCCCGATCCTTCATACTTCTCATCCTTCTCATCCTGGCAATATTCTTCCTTCTCTGCTGTTGCAGTGCCCGCACCTCTTTCGGCCCCCATGCCGCCACCCTCACCACCTTCCACCATCAGCAGATCCACAATCCGAAGCAAGGTGTCAGCTGCAGCTTCCGCCGAACCTGCCAGCGAGGCTTGGGAGGCTGCCGCACCACCCGCCGCCCCGGCAGAGCCTGCCGCCGAGCCTCCTCCCAGCGCTGACGTGGCAACGCCGTGCGCATACAGAGCTGCACGAGTGGCGCGGTCGAGCAGACGTGGCAGCGCGTGGGAGCGCAGCAGATGCACGCGATTGGTCCGCAGCAGGCACGCGGTGTGCAGCAGCTTCAGGAGGTCTGCCACGTCATCCTCCCCACTCGCTAACTCCTCATCTGCCACCTCCTCTAACAGCCTCAGCAGCAGCAGCAAACCGTCTGGGCTGCCCATTTCACCTCCCTCCTCACCCCCCTCCTCCCTCTCTTTTCCTGCTGCAGCCCTATCCTCTGTTTCACCCCCCACAAGTCTCCTTGTGTGAAGTACATTATAGGCACGAAGAGCAGAAGCAGCACGACTGACAGGCACCAGGGCAGCAGCAGCAGCGAACTCCTTTTCAGGGTCAGTGGCTTCCTCCCCTCCCTCCTCCAGCTCCTTCACTATCGGCTCTGTCGCCTCTCCATCCAAGCCCTGGCAAAAGTGGAAATGGGTGCGGTGGGGTTAAAAACCGGGGAAATGGGAAATAGGTGCGAGTAGTGTGAGTAGTGTGGGTGTCGCCCCGCCCCCCTCCTCCAGCTATGTCACTATTGGGCTCTACCAAATCAGTAGTACACACAGAGGTACACACTCCCTCCCTCCCACACACACTCCCTCCTTCCCACACACACACACACGAGCGCAGCACGCCGTTCACGTGCAACCGAAAGGCGGCACCTGGACTCACCTGCAGTCTGAAAATAACACTCATGGCTCCTCTCTGCTTCCACACTTGTTCGTACACGGCCCGCACAGACAGCCCCAGGGAGCAGATCTGCCCTTCAACCAGCAGCTCCATGCCATAATCATCGTCCATCAGCCCGTGCAGCTCCAGCTCCTTACAAATGAGATTCTTGACGTCTCTCATTAGAGGGCCGACCTGGAATGCACACAAGCGGGTTTAGAGGGTGGAATAAGGCCATAAGCATCGTCAGTGCCAGTGACAGCACGAGCAGCTCCATGCCATAGTCATCGCCATCAGCCCGTGCAGCTCCAGCTCTTTACAGATGAGGTTCTTGACCTCCCGCATCAACAGGCCCACCTGGAACGCTCTGTCAGTGCCAACAGAAAACAGCAACCCCACCAGCAGCGACATGCCATAGTCGTCGTCCATCAGCCCGTGCAGCTCCAGTTCCTGGTTACAAGCCCGCAGTGGTCCAATGCGGATCGTGCACTGATCCAACTGCTGCATCAGTCCAATTGGTGCCAGCAGCAGCAGCACATATATTCGAGAAATTACGAAAAGGGCCAGCAGCTGCTGGCAGCAGTTGTTAACCTTGCCATGCATGCCAGCAGGCGGACAGCGCAGTGCACCTGCTTGGAGGAGTAGGGGTTGTGCTGCAGGCGCCCTGGGAGGAACTCCTCCTGTGTCGCTGCCTTGATGAGCAGCATCTCGTACTCGGGCTCGGGGCGCGAGGAGACGGGGGAACGTAGAGCTAGCACTGGCACGGAGGGAGAAGGGAATTTTCCCAGAACGAGCAGCAGAGAAACGGACAGCTCACCTGCTTGGAGGAGTAGGGGTTGTGCTGCAGGCGCCCTGGGAGGAACTCCTCCTGTGTCGCTGCCTTGATGAGTAGCATCTCGTACTCGGGCTCGGGGCGTGTGGGGCAGATGGTGTTGCAGAGATGCTGGAGAAGGAACTGGAAGGGAGGGGAAGGGGGGGTGAATGAGGGGGGGGGGGGGGAAGGTGGGGGAGAGTGAGGCGAGAGGAGGAGGGGGTAGGGGAGGTGTGGGTTGAGAGGGAGGGCCGCCTTGATAAGTAGCATCTCGTACTCGGGCTCAGGGAGTGTGGGGCAGATAATGCTGCAGAGATGGCGGAGAAGGAACTGGAGAAGGGACACGAAGGCACGGGAGGGAAGGGGAAGAAGGAGAAGAGGAAGACAGCAGGTGGGGTGCATTGTGAGTGTCACTGCCTTGATGGGCAGTGTCTCGTATTCGGGCTCGGGGCGTGTGGGGCCGATGGTGTTGCAGAGATGGCTGAGGAGGAACTGGAGGGGAGGGGAAGGGGGGATAATGTAGCAGGGTGTGGGAAGCGAGCAGGCGGAAGGGAGGGGAAGTGTGGTATTAGAGGGGCCTGGAGAAGAGGGATGAGCACCATCTCGTATTCAGGCTCGGGGCACGTGGGGCAGATGGTGTTGCAGAGATGGCGGAGGAGGAACTGGAGGAGAGGGGAAGCGAGCAGGCGGAAGGGAGGGGAAGTGTGGTATTAGAGGGGCCTGGAGGAGAGGGTAGAAGGGAAGCAGCGGGAAAGAAACCAACGAACACAAAGCGGGGGAAGGGCAGCAGGAAGCAAGGAACCAGGAAACAGCAAGCAATGACTCACAGTTATCGCCCTCCAAGAGTCACACAGAGCAGCATCTTGCACCGCCCCTTCCTCCGCCAGCACCAATTCCCCCAGCACCTCCACACATGCCGCCACAAACGCTCTCCTCCTCCCATCGCTCGTCTCACACCCCTCCTCACGCCCCATCCCTTCCGCTCTCTCCCCTTCGGCTTCTGTCACGAGTCCCTGCAGCAGCAGAGAGAGCTGCTGCTGACACTCCACCACCAGTTGGGTTCTCGTCACCACCAATCCCTGCAGCCCTACCAATGCTCGCACTGCCTGCACCAAACACCTGCTAAAGCTGCTGCTGCTGCTGCTGCTGCTGCTGCTGGTGCTTTGGCTGGTATTGGCGCCAGCAATCCTGCTGCTGCTCCCGCGAGCTGGTTGAAAGAAGAGGCCCAGCAGCTTGGAATGCTGCAGGGCCTGCTGCAGCAGCCGAATGGCTTGCAGGATGGGATACGCCGCCGAGGCAGAGGCAGCAGGGGCAGCAGCGGCAGCCGAGGAGGCAGCAAAAGGCGAGAGTGAGAAGGAGAAGGAGGAGAGAGCAAGGAGCGGGGCCATGGCTCGGGATTCTTGTGCTTGCAGGTGGGAAACGGAGTGAGAGATGAAGGAGGTGAGGGCAGGGAGGAGGCCTCGGGCTGCTAGGAAGAGCAGAGACGAATGCTGTACGCTCGGCTGGTCTACCGAGGGTTGGTGAGAGGAGGAACGGATGGAAGCAGGACGAGAGGAATAGGAGGAAGAGAGAGCACGAGCAGCCGTGCCCGGGGGGGGTCGGAGGGGGGAGAGGCTTTCCTGGGCTGCTGATGAGTATGAATAGGGACGGAACTGAGTGGAAAGGAGGGATGTATTGGAAGAGGATGCAGTTCTGCTTTGCGAGGGTCTGCTGGAGGTAGGAGCGTGAGGAGAGGAGAGGAGGCGGGAGAGGAGCGAGAAGAACTCTGCTGAGGCTTCGCCTGCGTGTGTGGTTGCGGGGAGGAGGGTCAGCAGTGATTCTAGCACAGCGTGATTGTATCGAGGGGCCACCCCTGCCAGCAACTCGAGCAGATCGCAGATCTCTGATCGGAGACCGGGCGGCGAGCGACAGCTGGCGATCAAATCTGCAGTGAGGTGATCTTTTCCAGGCTGGGCGAAGAGATGCTTGCTGCCGAAACACCAGCTGCCGAGAGAGCGCACTAGCAGCCGAAGCCTGCCATCCAGAGCGCTCCGCTCCCGCGTCCGATTACGCCAGCGGGCGGCAAACTTGCAGATTGCGGGCGGCTTAGGGTCAACCTCTGAAGCAGTACCACTGGTACCACTGCTACTGCTATTTGCACTCCCTGATATTCCGTCCCCACTCCGTAACGAATCTCCTTCAGTCTGAGAAGTCGCCTCAGTCTGCCTCTCTGGCCCCTCTACAGCAGCGTGCTTGCAAGAGGAGGTGACTATACGGAGGGTGGGCAGCAGCACATGGTCCGATACAGAGGGGTGCAGATGGGTGGTGGCGAAGGCCTGGAAGAACAGACGAGTAGCCAGTTGCAAACATAGAAGCTTCCTGGAAGGAGATGAAATGGCAGATTCCGACGAGCTCGAGTCTGACTCAGATGGAGACGAAGACAGGTCAGCAAGGAGCAGCAGCGGGTCCTTGACAGCTGGCGCCACGTCAGCAAGCAGATAGCCGCCCACTGCAGCAGAGACCTTAGATTCGATTAGATCCAGTAGATTGTGCAAGGCGACAGGGGAGGTGAGTGCGAGGCGGGTCAAGAGGTGGCGTGCACGAGAGCGGGAGGAGGAGGGCCCAGAGAGGAGAGAGGAGGAGAAGATGGTGGGGATGGCGGAGAGAGAGAGGAGGGCGGAGGGGGCTGCTGGGATGGGGAGGAGGGCCTGCAGGAGGGGAGGGAGTAGGGGGGCGGGGAGAGGGAGTGGAGTGGGTGGATGAATCATGAAACAGAAGGGATCAACACATTGGATGAGAGAAAGATACATCGATAAAAGAGATGCCATTAAAAAGGGACATAAAAAGAGAAAGGCGGCTCAAGAATGAATCACGCACCCATGTAAATCACTACGAAATTCCGTATTCCATTCCTCACGTATTCCGTTCTTTACGAGTTCTGAGGCGCCTCAAAAGTCATCCGATTTGGGGCTTTCACACCTCGTGCAACTCACTTCAAATCCTCTCCTGATTTGAACCCATCTCCTCCCCTCACCCACTGCCTCACCTCCAACCACTGAAGGCAGAACCCGACAAAAGTGCTGCTACAATCCAAACACACCCCGGCACCACTGCCGCTGCTACCCAACCCCCTGCTCGCCTCCTCATAACCAAAGCCTTGCTGCTGCCGCCGCCACTGCTTCTCCTCCTGCTGCTGTTGCTGATCATGATATGATTGCAGCTGGAGCTGCAGGTGCTGCTGCTTGCGGCGGCTCCTCCTCTGCTGCCCCACGAGCAGGTGGTATTCAGCCAGGGCCATCTGTAGCGCGCCCATCCTCTCTGCTGACGTGGCCAGCCTGCGGTGCACGGTGCGACACTTGTCAGCGTACAGCGCGCCCAGGATCGCGATCCGACGGCTCACGTGCGCCTGAGCGGCTGCTGCCGTGGCTGCTGCGATAGATGAGGAGGAAAGAGGGAGGCCACCAGTGGTAGAGAACAGGGAAGAGTCACCACCCGCACCACCAGCACCGGCACCACCAGTACTACCGCCGCCGCTGCCACCACCAGCAGTACCAGTGCTGGACAAATTACCAGTACCTGATCCAGCAGCAGAGAGGGGCGGGAACGCTTCCAGCAGCTGCAGCAGCATCTCCTCTCCTGCTGCCGCCGCCGCTGCAGCCGACGCTGCAGCTGCTGCTGATGCTGTCCCTCCGCCCGCTGCTCTCCCTGATGTCCCCAATGCTGCTGGTATGCCTGATGCTCCTGCCCCCCCTGATGTGTCCCTGGATAGACCAGAGCTGAACAGTCCACCAGAACCGGGATCAGAACCAGGCCCAGCAGCAGCAGCAGCCAGCAGATCGTCAAACAGGTCGAAATCCAGAAGCCCACTTCCTGCTGCCCCTCCTCCTCCTCCTCCTCCTCCTCCTCCTCCTCCTGCTCCTGCCCCGGAGCCCCCTCCTCTTGCTCCTCGTCCTGCCCCTAGCCTGCCTCCTAGCAAGGCTGATAGTAAGGATGATGCGGACCCAAGACCTCCCGAGCCTCCTCCCTGTCCTCCTGCTCCTCCCCCTCCTCCTCCCCCTGCCCCTCTTGCTGCACCACTGCCTCCTGCTCCGCCTGCTGCTGCTGCTAATTGCAGCAGGGACGACAGACCCCCTCCTCCTTCCAACCCTGATCGCCCTCCTACTGCCCGCTCCCTGCTAAGCCCTCCTGCTCCTACTCCTCCTGCTCCTACTCCTCCTGCTCCTACTCCTGCTCCTCCTGCTCTTCCTGCTCTTCCTGCTCCACTTCCTGCCCCTCCTGCTGCTGTTCCTGCTGAAATCGGGCCAGGATTCAGCAAATCAGCCGCTGCCACGTCAGCAGCTGCATCATCGTCCAGGATTGACGAAACGAGGCGCGCGATTGGCCGGGGCAGAGCCTGCAGCTGCTGACGGAGCCGAGTTGCTGACTCAGCCTCAGCCTCCAATGCTGCAGCGACCTTCTTGGAAGCTTCCTCGGAGAGGATCGGGTCTATGGAGGAGGGGCAGGGGTGTGCTTGCAGCGCGAAATCGAACCGACCGTACCTTTGAAGGGGTGAGAAGGGGATAGGGAGGGTGGGCGAGAAGGTAAGAAATAGGAAATAGTTTTTTCACTTGACTCAAAAATTGACCCTGAGGAGATTCAAGAGAATGTGGGAGAAGGGATGTGGGGGGCGGGAGAGGGGTGAGTCTGGGAGGGGGTGGGGTTGTTTCGAGAAATTTGAGGGAAAATCATGAAAAGAAGGCATTAGGGCAACTGGATGTAAAAGTTCTTACAGCGACAAAATTGTCACCTGCAGTGGCACGCACCTGCAGTGGCACGCACCTACAGTGGCCGCATTGCGGGCAGAGGAAGGCGTGGAGGTTGTCATAGTTGATGGAGCGGCACTGGCGGCACTGAAAGGCGTTCTCATGGCACACCGTGCACATGCCGTGCCGGCTCGTTACCACGCGGTTACACCGCGGACACTGCAGCGACTCGCGAGACGACGACGAGGACGATGGGTGATTCTGGTGGCGCCGGAAAGGTTGAGGACGAGGAGAAAAACGCGGGGAGAGGAGAGGGTGGGAGACGGTGAACAATGAGGAAACAACATTTCAGTCGACTCAACAGTCACCGCACGCGCGCGCAAAAAGAAAGAAAGAAAAATGCTGGGCCCACGGGCAGAGGCTGCTCCCTGCATTGATGCAATTCGTCGTCGCTGACAGGGCCACACCCAACCAATCAACATCCCCTCACTCACTCACTCACCTCATGAAAGGAAGCAAATTCCACGACGACGAAGCGCAGCGCCACGGGCAGAGGCAGCTCCACGCGGATCTCCGGCTGGTCGGCCGCCAGCTGGCAGCGAGCGATCGGGCGGCAGAGCTCGTCTGTAGCGGTCTTGATCTGCTGCAGGTCGCAGGCGGCACTGTTGCTCCCCAGCAGGCGAAGATCCTTCACGGAGCGACCCCTCCTTGAATCGTGCACCATCATGGTGAACCCCTGAGGGATTCAACGGGAGTCAACAGGAGTCAATGGGTGGATATAAGGGGTTATTTCAGGTGTACCGAAGGTCATTCATAAAGCGACCCCTCCTTGAATCGTGAACCACCATGGTGAACCCCTGAGGGATTCAAAGGGGGTCAAAGGGAGTAAAAGGGAATCAAAGGGAGTTCAAGGGTGGGTGTGAAAGACCGCACAGGCGGTGGGTGTGAGGGGGATTCTGAGGTGTCTGTAGAACCACTCTTTCCATCCTCCACTCCCCCACACCACCTCTTGATGCACCTCCAAAACCAGGTTCGCTGGAGCCCTGGTGCGCACCTCTCAACTCACATTGATAAGCCGTGCTGTTCAGCTGACCTTGATGAGGTGCGGATCTGTGGTCACCCTGACTCATGTTTCGAAGGGCTGCAGTAGTAGAGAGGACGCTTAAGCAAAGGAACAAACAGTAAAAACTGGTGAAAAAAAACGCAGATCTGAAAAACCCTTAGCTTCCGAAAAGCCTCCTTGCGTAAATCAACTCACTTTGATAAGCCGTGCTGTTCAGCTGACCTTGATGAGGTGCGGCTCGGTGAGGCGCAGGAAGATGCGGCAGTCGGAGAAGCGCATCTCCTGCCCCCCCTGTCAGACAGAACCTGCCTCATCCCCACCCATAGACGTACCTTGACTGACACTGCTCCGTCAGGGGAAACAACTCACCTTGATGAGATGCGGCTCTGTGAGGCGCAGAAAGATGCGGCAGTCGGAGAAGCGCACCTCCTGCCGCACACTCTCCATCCTCACACTCCCCCACACCGCCTCGGGATACGCACACACCGCACACAGCTCCCCATCTGCCTTTCCCCACACCGACCCCCTGCCTCCTCCTCCTCCTTTTCCCCCTCCTCCTGCTCCTGCTCCTGCTCCTCCTGCTGCTCCTGTTCCTGCTGCACCTGACCTACCGCCACTGCCAGCACCACTACTACCCCCACCACTGCCCCCACCACCAGTACCAGCAGCAGCAGCAGCAGCAGCAATTGTTCCGTCGCTCTCAGGGCCCAGGAGTCTATGCAAGGCAGAGTTGAGTGATGCGCTCGGATGGTTGGCCACCGCTTGACTCTGCTGCGCCAGCTGCGTCAGCAGCACGGCTGCTGCTCGTGCTGCCACGTCAGCGGTGCCAGCTGGCTGCTGACTGGACGCCAGGTCAGCGAGGAGCGAGAGGAGGAGGCGGGAGAAGCTGAGGGCGTGGGAGCCGAGACAAGGGGTGTGGGGGAGGATGGACAGGAGGGAGTAGAGGATGGAGTGGCGGAGAGATGGAGAGGCATGTTTCCACACTCCCTGCAGTTGGGATAAGAGGGGAGATGGGAGAAGGGGAGGGGAAAGGTGGATAAAGGAGTTAGAAATCAGGCAACAGAAAGGAAAATGGCGGAGAGATAAGGGGGAATGATGCCACAGTCTGGAAAGATAAAGGAGAGATAAGGGGGAATGATGCCACAGTCTGGAAAGATAAAGGAGAGATAAGGGGGAATGATGCCACAGTCTGGAAAGATAAAGGAGAGATAAGGGGGAATGATGCCACAGTCTGGAAAGATAAAGGAGAGATAAGGGGGAATGATGCCACAGTCTGGAAAGATAAAGGAGAGATAAGGGGGAATGATGCCACAGTCTGGAAAGATAAAGGAGAGATAAGGGGGAATGATGCCACAGTCTGGAATTATGAGGAGGGGGGAGATGGATTGGGAGGGGGGATGGGGTTGGGGGAGAGGGGGAGGGAAAGGGGGAAAATAGTGATGAGGAAGGCACACATACCTGCATGACCATGCAGCCCTGGGATCGCAGCCTGGCAGAGGCAGCAAAGAGCACAAAGGAGGCGATGAACTGAACAATGCCAGTAGCCGCGCCATCCCTGCTGCTGCCGCCCCTCTCTGCCTGCTGTCCCTGCGCCTTCCCCTGCTCTTGCTGCCGCTGCCCCTGTTGCTCCTGTGTCTGCTGCTGGGAATCCAATGAGATGCCAAACAGAGTAGCTGCTTGTGCACCCATATCAACCGCACCAAACCCCTTTCTTTTCTTGCTACTGCTGCTGCTGCTGCTGCTTTTACCGCTGCTATCACAGTCAAACGCAAGAGCCACCAGCTGTAGCGTGCACACAGCAAGAGGCTCATCCTCTGCCGCCCAGCGGGGGGAGGATGTAACGGCTGCTACAGCCGCCAGCAGCTGTAGTGCTGACGTGTCCTTGCCTGCACAGTACCAGCGCCACGTGGACGGCTGAGATTGCGCCACGTGGAGGGTGGCGTTGAGGAGGAGGAGGGATTGGACTTTGATGGAGTAGGGGAGAGGTGGAGGGATGGGGGATGGGAGGTGGGGAGAGGAGGGGGATGGGAGCTGGGAAGAGGAGAGAGATGGGAGGTGAAGAGAGGAGGGAGGAAGAGCGAGGAAACGGAGGAGAGTGGAGCGAAGACCATGCATGTATGCAGCAAGCTTACACACACGCTGCATCCTCGCACACTCCCTCTCATTACCCCCACAGGACAGCAGCAACAGTTGCCGCACATACTTCCCTTGTCTCCCTCCCATCCCTCCCGCTCCACCCCCTCCCTCCTCCCCCGCCTTCCTACCATCACCACCCCCTCCACCACCACTCCCACCACTCTCAACCGCTCCAAACTGGCCCAAATCTACCTGGGCTATAACCGCCCCCTCTTTGGTCCGCTCCTGCTCTTTGGGCTGAGCCAGGACTCCCTCTAAAGCAGCTCTCTGCAGGTACGCACACAGCAGTGGCTGCCAAGCCGACTCAAATCCCTTCTCGCTCAGAAATTCCTTCTCACTCGGTACACCTTTCTCTGTGAGGCATACGGGTGCCACCTCAGCAGAAAGGCACAGCGCCCACTGCAGCAGCTCCTCTCTCCCCTTCCCTCTAACCCCAGAGGGGTTAGTCTCGGTGGAACTAGATGTGTCGGTGAGTGGGGCGTGTGGGTGGCAGGAGGAAACAATGGAGTGGAGGAGGGCGAGGAGCCTGGTGGCAGCGGAGCATGAAGAGTGGCTGAGAAGGAGGTGTAACCCGAACTTGGAACCATGTTGCTGTTGTTGCTCCCGCTCCTGCTGCTGCCGCTGCTGCGGTTGTAAACGGTACTGCAAGGTACGGAAGAGCAGCACAAGGAACTCCAAGAGGCAGGTCAAAGCTGCCATGTCAGCACTAACACCACCAGCACCTGCATCCACACGCCCTTCCCTCGCTCCGGACAACTGGCGCCAGCCGTGCTCCAGCTCATCAACCAGCCACGTCAGCGTCCACGTCAGCAGCTGGGCTCCAGGCGATTCCAGGTCACCCGTTTCCTTCTCCTTCCTCTTCCTTGCCCCTCCGTTCTTCTCCTTCCTCTCCTTCTTCTCAATAGAACCTACACTTGGCATAGCAACCCCCATAGGCCCCACCCCTGCTGCCCCTGCTCCTGTTACGCGCAAGAGCAGCTGCAGCAGTGGCATGGGAGGGGAGCGAGGGCAGAAAGTATCAGAGGAGGGGGGGGTGAGAGTGGGTTGGGGCGGGAGGGACCATCCAGGGGAGAAGGAGGAGAGCAGCTGCTGCAGCACCTCCCGTCCCACGTGGTTCATATGCATCCTCACTTCCTCCCACCTCGCCTTCTCCTGCTTCGTTTTCTCCTCCTCCTCCTCCTCTCCATCCTTCACCATATTCCCTGTGCTTTCCCTCTTGTCCGTCCCATCAGTCCCATCGGCCCCCTGCTGCTCCTGCTCCTGCCCCTGCTGTTCCATCTCACTATGTGCCTCTACCCCTGGTTCCCCAATCCCTGAGCCACCGATTGACCCACCAGGATCCAACCCAGTACCATACTCACCAGTGGTACCATCCTCACCAGCATTACCATCCTCACCAGACTCCCCACCAAACCCATACCCAAGCCTATCCATAAGCCCTTCCACTCCTCCTTCCTCCCCCATGCCATCCACTGCAGGATCGATGGGAATGGAGACCATGGGGTGTGAGATGCTGTGAGAGCTCAAGGGGAAGAGAGACGCAGCAGAACCAGCACCAGCACCAGCACCAGCAGCAGCAGCAGCTGCAGCACCAGCAGCAGAGGAGCCACCAGAAGCAGCGGCAGCGGAAACGGCCTGGTGGCACTCGTGACAGAGGTCAAAGTCGTCACACACGAGGCAGTGCCATCGCACGTCCTGAATGGGGCACACGCCGCAGGAATCACAGCAGAAATGCACCACCGACAGCTGCGGGTCTATGTTCTGATCGAACTCATGATGCCCAAAGTTTTGATTGATGTGTTGAGTCATGTCTGTTTGGTCTATATCCATGTCTTCTGCTGAGCCCTCCCCCTCCACCACCCCACTCTCCACATACGACCCAAAACCAGCAGTTCCAGCTGTAGCACCAAGAGCAGCACCATCTGTGCCAAATCCAGTGTTGACACCAGGAACATGGGCACCTTCTGATGTGAAGATTTGGGGTGCCTCTCCTCCTGCTGCTGCTCCTGCTGCTGCTGCTGCTGCTGCTGCCTGCTTGCTGCTTGTGTCAACCACGTTGGTTGCTGCTGTTCCATGCTGCATGGACGGCTGGCGGGAGGCTAGTGGCGGCGGCGACGGGAGAGGAGGCGGCGGCAGGAAGAGAGCACAGAGAGCCGTCCTGTGGTTGACACAAGTTGACGCAGGGAGAGACGCAAAGACAGAGAGGGGAGCGCAACGCGTGGTGAGCACGGAATGTCTAGGGTGGGTCTTGATCTGGTAACGTGTGCTTGACGCAATGGGGGGGTGGGTATTTGATACAAAGACATGAAAATGGGTTGCAGGTGCACACGGCTTACAAGAGGAGTTTACACAAGTGGTTTGTAAGGAAATAGATGCGCCTCAAAAACAGGTGCACACGGCTTACAAGAGGAGCTTACACAAGTGGTTTGTAAGGAAATAGATGGTTTTTGAGGCGCCTCAAAAGGCGCCTCAAAAACAGGTGCACACGGCTTACAAGAGGAGCTTACAAGTGGTTACAAGAGGAAATAGAAGAAAAGAATGGTGTGTAGGCAGGCGTGTTTTGAGTCGACTCAAAACACAAATAGATGACAAGAATGGTGTGTGGGACATACCAGCACGCCCCTGCAACAAGGACACGAAATGGGTCGCAGGTGCACACGGCTTACAAGGGGAGCATACAATAGTGGTTTGTAGGGAAATAGATGACAAGAATGGTGTGTGGGACATACCAGCACGCCTCTGCAACAGCAGGATCAGACGAAAGGAGGAGGCCCTGTAACCTGGTAACCACCCACGGCATCGTCACTCCGGATTCAGCAGCAGGCACAGAAGCAGGAGAAGCAGCAGCAGCAGTGGAAGAAACAGCAGTGGGAGGGGCAGCCGGAGCAGCAGCTGAAGCAGCAGCTCCAGTGGCTTCAGCTGGGAGTAGCAGAGTGCCTGCTACACCAACCAGCAGTCGCACGTATGAGGCCACCAGCGCTTGCTTCACCCCTTCAGAAACCCGACCAGCCCCCTCCTTGCAACTTGCATCCGTTCCCTCCATCCCCTTGCCATCTCCACCATCCTTTCCTTTCCCCCCCACACCCTTCCCATCTGCATCCGTTTCCCCCACCCCCTTGCCACCTGTATCTTTGCCACCCATCCCCTTGCTGCCTGCACCCTTGTCATCGCCCCTCTCTGCTGTCCCATCTGCAGCACTCTCGTCCGGAGCCTGAAGCACCGAGAGAAGGCGGTTATGCAGGTCTTCTAGGGGAGCGACGCTTGAAGCGCCTGTAGTGGGTGCGGCGGAGAGGAAGTGGCGGAGGCTGGAGGGTCGCAGCAGTGCGATGTGCGCCAAAGCGTCCATGTGCCTCTGGAGTGCATAGGCTCGCTGGTTGGGCTGTGCCTTCAAGGCGAGAGACAGCTCTGTTGAGTCGCAGGCCTGAACCACAGGAGAGGAAGGGGGAGGGGCGGGGATGGGAGAGGAAGGTTGTGAAGAGCTTCTTGCAGAAGTGGCATACACTGGAGGGTCGCAGCAGTGCAATGTGCGCCATGGCGTCCATGTGCCTCTGGAGAGCACATGCCCGATGGTTGGGCTGTGTCTTCAAGGCGAGAGACAGCTCTGTTGAGTCGCAGGCCTGAAACACATGAAGTACGGGAGGTGGGCCGGGAGGTGGGACGGGGGGTGGGACGGGGGGTGGGACGGGAGAGGAAGGCTGTGAAGAGCTTCTAAGGGAAAGAGGCACATGCCACGTGCGCAGCATGTCACATACATGCTGGCTGGCTGGCTGGCTGGCTGGTCGCAGCAGTGCAACGTGCGCCATGCCACGGCATCTTTGTGCCTGTGGAGGGACTGACTCTTCGTAACATCCGCAGGAGGAGGAACGAGCTGGCATGTCAGCTTTGGGCACGGCAGGAGCAAAGAACCAGCTCCTACTTTCTATCTGTTCACCAACTTATATAGGCCAAACATACCTGGACGAAATCAGCCTGGGACGGACGCAGCGATCGGCACAAGCCCAGCAGCAACTCTGCCATGGACCCTCCTCCCACAGCACCACCACCACCACCTTTCACAAGACAAAACAGAGTTCGACGGAATACCTGAACAAATTTTGACTGCGATGGATGCAGCGAGCGGCACAAGCCCAGCAGCAACTCCGCCATGGACCCCTCTCCCACAGCACCACCACGGGAGAACCCTAAATCACCACCACCACCACCACCACCACCACCACCACCACCACCACCACCACCACCACCACCACCACCACCACCACCACCACCACCACCACCACCACCACCACCACCACCACCACCACCACCACCACCACCACCACCACCACCACCACCACCACCACCACCACCACCACCACCACCACCACCACCACCACCACCACCACCTTTCACGAGACTGCCCAGCCTCTCTTCCTCCTTCTCCTCCTCCTCCGGGCCTCCTCTCAACACCTCCTGGAGTAGCTCCCTCAGCAGATCCTCCCCCAGCAGCTGCACCTTCCCCAGATCCACCTTCCCTTCCTGCCCCTCCACCTGCTCCTCCTTCTCTCCCTTCTGTCCATCTTCTGCCTGCTGTTCTGCCTGTCGCTCTGACTCCTGCATTGCGTGCTGCTCTCCCTGCTGCCAGCCCTCCCCAGCACCACCACTCAAAAGCCCAGTCAGCACTGCCAAAGCATCCCCAACCACTCGCTCCTCTCTCTCCTCCTCCACACACAAACCCTCCCCTCCATCTCCCCTCTCCTCCCCGCTCTCCCTCCCCCTCTCCACCCCCTCCCCCTCCCTCCTCTCCCCCTCCTTCCCTTTCCTCTCCCTTCCCTCCTCCACCTCCCTCTCCCTCTCCCTCGCCCTCCTCCCCTCCTCCTCCACGACCCTTTTCCACTCCTGCCACCACCCCAACACCTTCCCCTTCACCCTCCCCCACCCAAATTCCTCCTTCCGCCGCCCATACACCTCCAAACCATCCACCCTGGCCCGCGCATTCCCCCCAAAAGCAGGGCCCACGTGGATGCTGACGTGGCGGTCTGCCAGCAGGGATTCGGCGGAAGTGAAGGGGAGGTCGTACCAGCGGCGGGAGGAGCGGTCGAGGGGGAGGGAGCGGTGGAAGAGAGAGAGGGAGGAGGGGGTGTGCGAGGAGGGAGAGATTCCCACTAGGACGCGGATTCCCACAAGGAGAAGGCTGGAGTTGGTGTTGGTGATGGTGATCTGGGCACGGCAAAGCGGAAGGGAAGAAAAAGGGGAGGAGGATGCACGAGAGGGTCTTGATTGCAATCACTTCGGGAAAGAGGAAAAAACACAGAGACGAAAACACAGAGACGAAAGCACAGAGACGAAAGCACAGAGACGAAAGCACAGAGACGAAAGCACAGAGAAAGTTCGCACCTTGAAACCTTTTGAGGAGGAAGCTTCCAGGAAGCCGTCCTCAGCCATGAGATTATGCAGCACAGTTTCACTGTCCATGTCACTCATCCCTGCCACGTCAGCAGCAGACCCTGAAGCACCACCAGCACTCCTCCCACCACCACCAGCACTACCACTCCCACTCCCACTCCCACTCCCGCTTCTGCTGCCGCTGCTCCCACCACTCCCCCCACCTCCGCCACTCCTGCTCCCTCTCACGCCTTGCACTGAGAACCGCACTTCTGGGGTGACACACACCGTATGCTCAAAGAAATCGTGGGGGAAACTAGGATTCCACCCCGGCGGCTTCCGGCGGCCAATCAGATCCAAGGGCACTGCCGGGAATGGCCTGGAAAGCTGCCCTGCAGATAAACCCGCCCCAGATGAACCCGTTCCTGTTTCTCCCCCTGAAGCTGCTGCTGCTGGTGCTGCTACTGGGGCATCTGTTTTGCTGCCTGCCCCTCCTTTATCCACAATGCAGAGCAGAGTATTCACAGCGATTTGCAGTTCCTCCTCTGGAGAAAGAGGCTTGCGTGGGGGTGTGGGGGGAGGTGGGGGAAGGGGCGGGCGACGGGTTGGGGGAGCACTGGCAGGGGCGGCTGCAGCAGCAGTTGAGCCGGCTGTAGCAGCAGCAGCCGATGCATCTGTAGCAGAAGACGTGGGTGTGGCAGGCGCTCCTGGTTGACCAGCAGCCGCGGCTGTAGCAGCTGTAGCATCTGTGGCAGCAGCACTGCCAGCAGCCCTTGGGGCTGCAACATCAGGGGCAGAAGCAGAGGTGCTGGTAGGGATGCTGACAGGGGCCTCAGAAGCAACAGCAGCAGGGTAAGGTGCAGGCACAGGCGGAACCAGCACAGATGCGGCAGCTGAGGCAGGGTGAGAGGTATGCGTGTCAGCAGCATCAGATTGGTCTGCTCTAGAGGAGGAGGAGGTTTGCGGTGCAGTGAGGGAAGGTGCGGATGCGGTGTAAGCCGAGGGAGAGGGAGGATGGGTGCCGAGCACCACTAGAGACCCATCCTGATACAGCAGCACCACTCGGTTATCCCCATCCACCTGACCAATCTCCTGAGCCTGGGCCCTCCCACTCTCGCTTTCACCCTCCCTCTGCTCCTCCTCTTGCATATCCTCCTCTTCCTCCTCGTACTCCTCCTCCTCCTCTTCTTCTGTCTCACTACCCTCCCTCTCCTTACTAGCTCGACATGCTGCCACGCCCACAATACGACCAGGGTAGTCACCACCAACCTGGTTACCACCAACCTGGTTACCACCAACCGGGTTACCAGCTGCAGCGTTACAGAGCAGAGCATGGGAGAAGCACGGGAAGCCCCTGGTGAGATGCTCCAAGGGCCCAGAAGCCAGCAACACCCGGCAGCTGCTTCCCTCACTCATCACAACAGCGCTTCCACAGAAACTGCTGCTGCTGCTGCTGCTGGTGCCGCTGTTCCCACTGCCGCCGCTGCTGCTTCTGAAGCTGAAGCTGTCCCTGCCCCTGCCCCTGCGGCTGCCTCTGCTTCTCTCCCTGCCCCTTCCAGACGCAACCTCCCACTGCAATATGCCTGCTTCCCAGGCTCGGAACCCTTCCGAAGCTAGCTCCCGAACCTGACCCTGATGCCCAGCCGCTGCAGGTGGTGCGAGTGGTCCCTGGTTGTTGATGGTGATCTCCCGCAGCAGCGATATTGCCTGCCATAGCAAAGCAGCCGGGGAAGACAGGTGCAGTAACATGGGGGATACTGGTTAACAAGGAAGCAGAAAAAGACCTCCCGCAGCAGAAATCTCCTCCTTCCGTTGCTGTTCCTTCCACTCGGCCAGAGTACAAAAAGAGGCCTCCCTTCACTGAACCCCCCTGCTAAAACGGGAAACTGAAACTGCTAGAAACACGAGCTTTGCGGAAGCTCACCAGGCCACAGAGCGAGAGACGAGCAAAGAAGAGGCGACAGCCGTCAGGAGAGGCAAGAAACCCCTCATGCGTTGCCACCGGGCACAGGAACCCAGATCCCCTCCTTCCCACGTCCCCCCCACCCTCCTTTTACTGAGACGCTCTGCTAGAAGCTCACCTGTCCAGAGAGCGTGAGGCGAGCAAAGAAGAGGCGACAGCCATCAGGAGAGGCAAGAAACCCCTCATGCGTTGCCACCGGGCACAGGAACCTTCCTCCCCTCCTTCCCACAACCCCTCCGCCCTCACCCAAAGCTACACTGCTTCCTCCTCCTCCTCCTTCTCCTGTTCCTCCTCCTCCATCTGCTTCTCTCTTCCCAGTCTCTTCTGAAGCATCAAGAGAGGAAAGACCGGCCCGAGCCTGATGCTGCCAGGGTAGGTCCGAGCCTGATGGCCGGAGTGACAGGTGGCGCAACGTGACGTGCTGACATGGCATGAACAGGAACAGATCAAATCCATTCTCCGCATCATCGTAATCATCCTCGTCCTCATCCTCGTCCTCCTGGTTGTCGTCTTCATCCTCCTCATTAGCTGATTTCCTATCGTCTATGGTTGCGTAGTACAGTGCAGCCTGTCACACAAGACAATGATGATACGAACAGGAGTGAGCTCTATATCATAACAAACAGGGTAAGAAAGCGTTGAGTAAATATGTAAGACTCAAATGTATAAACAGAAGGAACAAGCGGATCCTCACTCGGTGAAAAAAACAGAGGACAGGGAAGATACACAACAAGAGCAACGGAACCTGAGGAAGCAGATAAATTCAGGGGTAACACATTACTAGCACACTGGAAGGGAAGGCAAACCTACTGGACAAAGGCACACACTACTCACCTGGCTGGTGAGTCTGTTTTTTGAGAATTCTAAAAAAACACACACTGCTCACCTGGCTGGTGAGAACTGTCAGTTGCATCTGGGGACCTTCCTCATCATCCCTATGCCCATGCCCATCATCCTCATCCCCATCCTCGTGCCCCTCCCTCTCGTCCTCTTCGTCCTCCTCCTCCCTCTGCACCACACACACATCCACAATCTCCTCCTCTCCCACCTTCCCGACTCCCACCCCCTCCCCCTCCTCCTCTCCCTCTTCCCTATCCCCCTCCTTTTCCTGCTGCGCATATGACGCTCCTCCTCCTGAAGGTTGGCTCGCAGGGAGCTGGAAAGTGGCAACCAGCTGAGCATCATACCCCACAGCCACTGCAAACAGGAGCGCCGCTGAAGGGGTCGCCACGAGCAGACGAGCCTGCAGCAAGAAAAGAGATTCAGGGAGGAAGGAAAGGGAAGGGAAGGGATGATTGATTGGGTAGGAGTAGGTGGGATGGGAGGTGGAAGGTGGCGATCAGCTGGGCATCGTATCCCACAGCCACTGAAAACAGGAGCGCCGCTGAGGGGGTCGCCACCAGGAGACAAGCCTGTAGCAAGAAAAGAGAGTCAGGGAGGAAGGGAAGGGAAGGGAAGGGAAGGGATGATTGGGTGGGAGTGGGCTTGATGGGAGGTGGAAGGTGGCAACTAGCTGGGCATCATACCCCACAGCCACTGCAAACAGGAGAGCTGCTGCGGGGGTAGCCACGAGCAGGCATGCCTGCAAGAGATAGATAGAGTGATTCAAATGGGGAGGGGTGACGGGGAGAATATCACTTCAACGGGGTTTAAAGGCTTTAACAGAAAGTGTGAGATGATGCAAAGTGCAGAAGAGAAGGTATTTTCACAAAGGCGGAAAGAGAGAATACCTTCTTCTGAGCGCACGCACCTCCAGAAACGGGCCTCCTGCAAGGGGCAACCAGCACATCCTCTTTATAACCACATCTGTTTCTGGAACAACTACTTTGCCAGGCCCATCCCCTTCTGCTTCACCATCACCCTTCTCCTCCTCCTCCTCGTCCTCCTCCTCTGCCTCCCCATTCTCCTCCTGCTGTTGCTCTTCCTGCTCCTCCGCCTGCTCCTGCTGCTGCCTGTGTGGCCGGCGGTGTTTCCTTGCAGTGCGAAGGCCAGCACGCAGGTTCACCGCGGAGCGAGTGACGAGCGTGCAGTCATCGTCCAGCACTAACACCTGAAGGAGAGCAAGGTAGGGGAGATGCGGAAACAACGAGAGAGGAGGAGAGAGAGAGAGAGAGAGAGAGAGAGAGAAGCATAGTGAAGGGATAGTGGCACGCAGTTTCATAGCATGTGCGATCGTCATCAATAAATGCCTTACCTCAACCTGGTTCGTCCCTGCAATTGCAAGCAGCGAGTCGACAGAGGGGTGGAAGGCCAGCATGTGCACGGGGCACCCCACAACATGGAAGGGGACCCACGTCCACCTCCCCTATCTCCATCGGGGCTGCTGCATTGAACACATCAGACTGGTCTTACATCGAACATGAAGTGACTTACCTCCACCTGGTTGGTCCCTGCGACAGCTAGCAGAGAGTCAACAGTGGGGTGGAAGGCCAGCATGTGCACGGGGTACCCCACGTCCACCTCCCCTATCTCCATCGGGGCTGCTGCCTCCTCCACCGAAGGTATAGGTGCCAGGTCAGTAGCAGCGGCGGCGGCGGTGGTGGTGGCGGCGGCGGCAGCAGCAGCAGCAGCGTGATCATTATCTGCTCCTGTACTGGCAGCAGTGCGAGGGACTATGTCATCCGCCTCCCACAGCCTCACAGTTGACCCTGCCCCAATTGCCACCTTCCCCCCGAGACTGATCGTCAAGAGCGACGGCGGCCCAGCTGCTGCTCCGCCAATCCCAACCCCTGCAGCATCTGCTACGTCTGCAGCATCTGCTACGTCTGCTGCATCTGCTACGTCTGCTGCATCTCTTGAACCTTCTACATCCGCTGCACCTGTTGCTCCTGTTTCACCTGCTGCTCCTGTTTCGCCTGCTACAGGAGCCGAAGCAGGTGGGAGGAGGGGGAAGGAACCAGCCGGGTACAGGCGCAGAGCTCTGCCTAAGTCTGCTTGCTCTACTGACAGCAGCGCTTCTGGCAGCGCAGGAGGAGCCTCTGGCACCGCTACAGCCACCTCTGACGCAGCAGCCCCCTGCCTGCCCTCACCTGCTCCGCTCCCTTCTGAGCTTGCTTCAACTACTGCCTCACCTCCCACCTTGGACCCAGCCTCCTCCTCCTCCGTCCCACTGCCTTCGCCTTGCAGAGTCGAGCCTTCTGCCCCTGATTCTTTGCTCTCAGACGGCTCCTCACTTGCACGCCCTGACTTCTCCTTCCCTCCCTTGACTCCCTCACTCGCCCCATCGTGGCCTTCCTCCACCTCCCTCTTTGCTTCTCCTTCGTCCCCCTCCCGCACCTCACCTTCTTCTTTCTCCTTTTCCTGACCTCCTCCCTTCTCCTTCACCACACTCTCGACCACCTCCAACCCTTCCCCTTCCACTTTAACCTCCATCTTTTCCCCTCCCTCCACCACCTCCGCTTCCCCTTTCACCTCAGCCTTTTCCCCTTCCATCTCCCCCATTTCATCCACCACCACCTCTTCCCCCCCCTCCTCACCACGTCCGACCTCCCCCTCCCCACCCCCTCCCTCCCCCAACCTCACTCCATCCTTTTCCTTCCTCGCCCGAACAACCCTCTCTCTCGCCAGTGCCTTGCGTCTCAGCCAATGCCTGCGCGCCAGCTGGCAGATGGTATCCACCACCTGCTGCCGACTTAGCTCCCCGAGAACCAGCACTCGAGTCGCTGCTACAGTTGCTTCTCCTGTTGCTGCTGCAACATCCCCGTGCATGCCCTCTCCACTGACGGTCATCGTTTCCTCCTCCTGACGCTTCTCCTTCTCACCATCCTTCTTCTCAGAATCGTTTTTACCATCCTTCTCACCTCGCTCAGCCCCACTCACGTCCTCTTTCTCCCCCTCCTCACCTTCTCCCCCCCATGCCTTCCCTGACAGAGCCCCCCTGAGCCCTCTCACAACCTCTTCGCTCCACAAGCCCTCCTGCAGCCTCAGTACTCCCCCTCCATTCCGTTTCTCCTTCCCCAACAACCCTTCCCAGCAAAGCTTCTCTGATTGGCTCATAAACGCCTCCACTCCCACCAACCAATCCGTTTCAACCTCAGAACCCTCTCCCTTTCCTCCTCCTACTCCTCCTCCACCTCTCTCCTTCCCTCCGTTCCTGTACCCACCAGGCCATCCAAACGTGCCTCCTGGCAAAGCCACTCCGCCTTCTCCTCCCGGTACCCCTCCTGCTGCTGCTGCCTGTTTCATTGACCCCACAGGGCGGGGCTTCAGTGCAAAGCAGCCCTTGAAAACGCTTTCATCCCCGCCTGCCCCGCTCCCCCCACTGGCTTCCCCTCTTCCCGCTCCCCTTGACACCTCCCCCTGCCGCGCCAAGCCTGTTCCGGACCTCCTGCGCCGGAACCGCTCCCAAACCGCAGCTGGAGAAGACCCCGAACCTGTCGCCGACTGACTAAAAGCCCCCTGGTTCGGCAAGCCCGTGGCATCCGAAGCAGCAGCACTACCAGCACCACCAGCACCAGCAGGAGGAGCACCAGAGCGTCTAGCAGGTCCTGCCAGGGAACCACTCGTGTGGGCGCCAGGAGGGGCGCTAGACGGGGGAGCCGGGCCAGTCGCACCGCAATCACAGAAGAACCTGGAGAAACGCGAGTACACGAGCTTATGGCCCTTGTGGCACACGGCAGCGCAGACGGAGCAGCAGCCGCGGGACACTGTGAGGTCGCAGGTGTAGCAGAGGTACCAGTGCTGCTCCATGAAGTTGCTGCCACTCACCACAAACGAGCACACGCGGGACGCCACAGCCCTCTCTTCCTCCGCCTCTGCTGCTGCTTGCGCGGATAAATCCGCTGGGGACAACCACCCTGGTGCCGCAGCTGCTGCAGCTCCCCCTGATGCTCCTGCTGCTGCTGCTGCTGCTGCTGCTGCTGCTGCTGCTGCTGCTGCTGCTGCTGCTGCTGCTGCTGCTGCTCCTGTTCCTGCTGCGGAGCCAGACGCAGAGGGGAGTGATGAGCAGGAGCATGAGGTCCTGATGGAGTCTGCAAAGGTGTTGAGGAAGCGACTCTCCAGCTCCTCATCAGACCACCCGTCCTCTCCACCTTCCGGTTTTTCTGCATCGTCATCCACCTTTCCCTTCTCCTCTTTCTCCTCCTCCTCTTCCTCCTCCTCGTCATCGCCCTCTTCCTTCTCTGAATCCTCGTCTTCCTCCTCGTTCTCCTCCTCCTCCTCCTCCTCCACCTCCCCCTCCTCTTTCTCGTGCTCTTCCTCTGCTTGGTCGTCATCCTCTATCCCCTCCTTGCCCATCCCCTCCCCCAACTCCTCATCTCTTAACTCAAACCTCCCTGTCTCTTCTTCTTCTTCCAGAACACTCCCTCCTCTTCCCAGACCACCACTACCCCTGCAGGCGGACAGGACAAGGGACAGGAACGACAGCAGCACGTGTAGAACTTCCGCTTTCGCCCCGCCCGCTCCTCCCACAACAGCAGTCTCTTTTCCGTTACCAGCCCCCAACTGAACCTCAACTCCTGAATGTTCTCCGTCTCCTACTACTCCTCTTCCAGCATCAGCTTCGCTTTCCACCCCCTCCTGCGGCACCTCTTGCAAAGTACCCACTCCCTTATTCAACGCATCTAGCCCCTCCTCTCTTTTCACCATCTCATCCAGAACAGCAACAGCACCAGCCACCAGCGCCAACAACTGTTCCCCAACAAGCCCTGCGGATACACCCTCTGCAGAAGACGGCTTTTCAGTCTCTGCGTGAAGCGTTGCTCGCACACCGACGTCCAGCAGCCTCTGCACCAGCTGCGCATTAGGGATCTCCGCCAAAGCAACCGCCTTCAGCACTGTCACAACTGCGGTCACAGCAAGTTCGAGGACCCTCGCGTCAACAGCTGCGCGTTTCTTTCCCTCCTTCTCTGCGTTGCCTTCGCATCTGTCTTTGTGGCTGTTCTCGGGTCTCCCGGGTTCAATCCCTACCTCGGCACTGGCATCGTCAACATCGCCTTCCCCACCTCCTTCCAGCGTCCCCTTCCCGTTCTCCTCTCCCTCGACTGTTCCTTCCCCATTTCCAGCAACGGAGCTGGCCGGCGCGTTCCCAGCCGTAGATGCCTCGACTCGACGATCACAGCCGTCCAGGAGAAATTTCATAAAGTCCTGCGTATCCGTTCTAAGCAGCCGCTCCGATTCCGAAAATTCTCTGGTCGGTAGATCCCCGACCTCGGATACATCACCGAGGGAGAGGACGTTTCTCGCTTCGGATTCCCCGAGCCTGTCACCGAGCTTCTTTGAGTTGTCCGAACCAGATCCATCAGGTCCAGATTTCAGCTGCACTGTCCGTAACAGCCACGAAGCCATGGAAGTGACGATATCCATCGAAGGATGCATTGCGGAACGGGAAATGTGGATTTCCGCCAAAACGTTTATCTGAAGCGTCAGAAGCGCAAGATTGTTTTCAGACGGTACTCGCCACAGTCACTTACAAAAAACTGAACCTTTTTTTTTTCACGTTCGAATTTTTTTTTTAACCAGAAGGCCTACGGCGGCCAGCGTAGATACACAGCAGAAAAATCCTGTTATGAGAATTCACCCAAAATCACTAACCTTATTTCTTCCTCTTAGTGTAGCGACTAATGCTGCGTCTATCCTCCCCTACCCACCTCCCTCCCACGAATTCACACGCCGTTGATGCCAGTTTGCCAGACTCGGAATGGTCCCCTCGGGGGAGCTGAGAACGGGAATCAGAAAAAATGCAGGAAAATCCCGTTGTCTTGCTCAGTTGCTTGCCAGTCTGAGCAAGCACTGATACAAGAGCTGGATTCAGAAGCAAGCCTCTGAAATACTGAGAAGCAACTGAAGACAACTTTCACAAGCAAGCTCTCCAGGAACAAGCTCTCTTCAGGAATCCTGAAAAAGGGCTGATGCAGAGAAACTGGTTCAGGTCGGACCAGAAAGCTGAAGCGAGGGGCTCAAGGTTCAAACGCGGGGAGGTGTGGAAGGAGGAGGTTGGGTCACCCCGAGAGAAGCTGCTCAGGCTCGGGAATTCGCTTCGGCAAAGGCAGGGAATACTTCCGATCGCGCTTGCGTCCCTCCCGTAATCGGGCAGAAAATGCAAATTTTGGA